GGCAACTATTTCAGCTGAGTTGTTTTTTTGTGTCCTGTACTCGCAGGGGATAGGACTACCTCACTCAGAGGCAACTGCTTTCCTTCCTATCAGAATTTGTTAATACACCATTTTCATAGAATCATAGAATGCTTTGGGTTGGAAGGGCCCTTTAGAGGTCACCTAGCCCAACCCCCCTGCAGTGAGCAGGGACAGCTTTAACCAGATCAGGGTGCTCAGAGCCCCGTCCAACCTGACCTTGAATGTTGCCAGGGATGGGGCCTCTACCACCTCTCTGGGCAACCTGTGCCAGTGCTTCACCACCCTCACTGTAAAAAATTTCTTTCTAATGTCTAGTCTAAATCTATTCTTCTTTAGTTTAAATCCGTTGTTCCTTGTCCTGTCATCCATTATTCCTTGTCCTGTCGAATTTCATTCTTCATCAGAATAGTGCCATGCAATTTTCAGATCTCACATTTCTATAGTCCACAGTAGTAAAGAGAAAGAGGTGGAACCTTCAAATTCTCTGCTTTGTTTTAAATGTATCTATCTTATTAACAGTTTTTCTTACAAGTACTTAGAGATTAAGCTGTTTTAATGTAGCTTTTCACTACTGCTTCTGATCTCTGTTGTTAATGCTTCTGAAAAAAAAAACATTTGACTGCTTTTTTGCTCTCTGTTGCCATAATCATCCTTCTAAATAAGTGTTTGTGCCATAGTACGTGGTTTTCTTGCAAAACAGAACTTGGAGATTCTTGGTTAAATCTGAGCCCACAGTTAAATAATAGTTTTATGCACACGTAAGTGCCAGGGGCTGTACAGTAATGGTTCTGTTTGCATTTTACAGATGAATAAAATCATTGCAATTAAAACTTTCTTTAAGAGCTAGGAAAGAAGACAAAAAGCTATGGAGAAGTGTCTGTTGAAGAAGCATGCTTGTTGTTTAGCAAAGAAGTTCATGGTTAGATATGCTTCATTAGTGTTTAGTTTTATAGAGGCAGCAGTAGTGGTCACATTTTCTAAGAGGTAACAATTACCTGAATTATAGCTTAGGTTTTATTCAAATATTTTAATGTAAAAGTACCATATTTAATTCTACATATGGGGAATTTTTTGTTGCAGCTAATTCACTTATTCCCACTGCATATGACTCAGTTCTGGCATTATAGCCCATTTCCAGGCTTTCACAACTATTATTTTTGGCAGCTAATATTGCCCTGAGCTACCATCTTGCCTTAAACTTATCCAGATCAGGCATTAGTAATAAACCCCCTAGAACAAATAAAGCTAGATATGTAGGAATCAAAGATTCTAAGTCAACTAAGTCTTTTGCAAGCTTCAAACTAGAAAGCTTACAGTTTGGACAGTCCCAAAGCATGAGCTGTATTTTGTATATGCAATCACATAAAGTGTGACTTTGACTTTTTACTTCTAATGTGCAGATGACGTCTTGAAACATACTGTCTCTTGCGCTGGTAGATTTCTTGGCATATTACAACACAGTTAGGAAAAACTTTGTGAGCAAAAATAAAGAGGAATAATTTTTTCAACATGCTTACCAGCCTGCTTTAATTGTTAGGTGATATGTTCTTTCTGGCTACTCATACCCCTGAGTCCAGTGGTCATTCCTGTGCCTTTCCAAATTCTTCATCATTCACTTAAGAGGTTACCATGAAGTTCCTAAAGGGCAAGCACGCTATGTTAGGTTATGCCAGAGCCTGAAGAGGAGTTATGACTTCTTTATGGCATAATAATTGTTTTGATCATTTTACTTTGCCATCTTTTCCTCCAGATAAGTTTCAATACTTCCACCACCTACTGAGTGGGTGGAAATATTGAAGTACCTACTTTTTTTTTGTTTAAACAGCATATTTGAAATCTGTTTGGGGTTTTTTTCCAAGTTTTGATCTGCCTTTATTTTCAATCTTTATTTTCAATCTCTATTACTTTCCTCTAGCCTTACTGATAGTTTTACGGTTTTTGGTATTGTAGTGCCACTTATGAAATTCCTTTATTGTGCCCTTTAACTTGTTCTTCCAGCTCATTAATCTTAAAGGGAATAGAATTCATCACCTTGCTTAGCCTCTTTTAAAATGCCCACCACTTGCCGTTCTGATCCAATTTTGTGAGATTCTCATTAGGGAGACTTGCATATTAAAAAACAAAGTTTTGTTGTGAGATGTAATCTAAAAGAAATAAATATCCTAAATAATAGGATAGATTTACAAGACTTTTTTTGCACATGTGTTTCTCAACAGCATTGACAATAAAAGTTAACTTAGGTTTTGATAGGCAATAGGAAGCACAAGACCAAACCAAGTATTCAAATGTATTAAATCAGACTCCTAAAAAATCTCAAGGTATTTTAAGGACTGAGATTTAAAAATATGCAGAAATAAATACCACTGTATGTAGAAGTACCTGTGCAACCATGAAAGGCTGCAACCTTTTGTCAGAAATGATACAGATCCTTTTCTAATGATTCCAAGACCTTATGCGTTAGGAAATATGCCAAGTATTGCAATACTTTAAATAAAATCAAATGTTTTATCACCAGTGGAAACTATGGAGGTTTAGAAAAGAAGTATTGTGAGTGTGAATGACTCCACAATGTAGTATGAAAGATAGCGAATGATGGAAGTTGCTGTTTATGTGTTCATAGTTAACATAGGGGAATTCCTTGGGTATATCCATAATTGAAGGGTAGGAGCATTACTGCGGTCTTGCAATTTTGAGTGTTTGTCCACAGGCATTAAAGGTTAAAATAATTCAACACTGAGAGGTTTTGAACAAATCTCAAACTCTATAGTGAGACTAAGAGCAAAAAGAATAAATGTAGTGTGACTTTGAAGTATAGCTACAAACACAATAATGTAATATTTCATATTGCTGTTGTGCACAGCACCATTGTAGAGTTAGAAAGATGTTTTCTGGATCATCAAGCCCAGCCTTCTCCCCTCAGGGCAATGCTGGTTACTGTCTCCATCTTATTAACACATGAAGTTTTTAAAAGCAGCTGTCATGAGCACCAAGGTTGTTGTCGAACCTCCCTCTCTTTTGCTGTTCAGGTTTCTAGCCATACACTTTATTCAGAGAGCAACTCAGTTTTGACCCATAGTTTCTGTAGACCTTTTCCTCTATTAACTGTTTCTCTCCTGAGGTGTCTGGGTGGAGCAATCATGTTCCTTTTGCTTTCCTTCATTTCGTCCTTGACTCTGCAGAGATCGTGGTGTGAGTTAATACAGGTTTAACATGAATAATTGGAAATGTGTGCCATATTCCAGATGAAGCCCTATTGGTATCTTATACAAGTCAATTAATGTTTTGTCCCTTGCTTTTGAAATACCTCACCTGATGTGTCTCAGGATGGTGTTTGCTTTTTCCAGGCATCATCATAGTGCCTCATAATTTTCCAGCTGACGTTAACATATCTTCACCATTTCTGATCAAATATGCAGCTTACAAACGTGTTGCTATCTTTATGTATACGATGTGTGCTTTTTGGTGTTAAATCAATCCCTTTTCCTCAGACTTCAGTCTTCGAAATTAAATCGGCACTCCTGATTGACATTGCTATGCTACTCTGTTATATGCGTTACTGGCATCAGAGTTTTGCTGGCAGTTATCAGAATTTTTTTTCTTTTTTTTTTTTCCTTCCATCCTGACATAAAAAAATTTTAGTGACTGTGGTTGGTTTTTTCAATCTTCAGGTCTCATTGTGACTTGACAGATGTAGTAAAAATCCACTTTTCAGGCCCTGTGGTTCCACATGTGAATTCTTCCAGAATTCTTTTGTGATTATTTATGTTCCCTTGCCCTTCCCAGCTTGAACCACTGAGCTCCCTGAATTTTCCTTCTTAACCTTCATTCCTGTTAATTAATCAGCCTGCTGTCACCTCCATGTGCATTATAGTCCTTACTGAGTAACAAGGAAGAATACTCTTAGAACTTTTTCTGGCTGTGCCTAGATTTACTTGCATCTGTACCACATTCTCACTTTTTTCCTGGTTATTTATATATGCATGTCTACACACAGACACACAGGGATAAAAAAGGTAATAGCACATACATACGCACTTTTTTACTATTTGCTTTATGTCAGCTTGACTTTTAGTATTTCTTGAGCATGTACAAGTGCCATAACTGTGGATTTCTGTATCTTAATTCTAAAATCTTCATATCTTACTGAGTTTGCATTTTTTTAAAATTCTCATTCACTTTCATGCTATTACAAAAAAAAAAAAAAAAAAAAAAAAGGAGGCCTAAGACCCACTCCTTTAAAATCTATGCTTTTATTAAAATTTGTTTTTTATTTTCTTTAGAAGTGTCTCTAATAACATTCTCTCTAGTTTAGTGATGCATCCAGGAATAATCCAAGTGTGTTATTTACAGACTTAAAATTAGGGATGTGATTAAACCGAAGCCACTATGTACTTGCTGGGTTTGGGTTTGCAAAATCACAGAGTTGTCTATATAGCATATTCCATGAAATAAAAGATCATGTGATTACAAGTACTTCATGATTTGTCCCAGGGTTTTTATTCATGTATTGCCCACCGCAAGGCATTGAGTTGCCTATCATCATTTTTACTCTGCATCTTTGATCATTTTAATATCACAATAAATGGGTAATTAATACATTGGTATTTTCTTATGTAATAAAACTAAAAGAGCTAGTTCAAGCAAAAAAATTTTTAATGATGATTAGGATGTCCTTGATACCATGGTGTGATGACATCTGATGGATTTTTTGGCTGCATAATACGAATAATGGTTAGTTTATTTGTCTTTGTTATTCTTGGGTACTGTGGAACAAGTAGCTATTTCTGTACCTAGTAAGGGAAAGTTTGAAGTGTTATACTGCAAAGAAGTTCTACAAACATTTTAATTTAAGTCAAAACAGCACAGAATCTGAGTAATGGTTACATTTCTGATTTTCTATATGACAGCTTACGTACAGTAAATCCCATTATATTTGGATTGAAGCATAAAGTAATTATGCCTTCTCCCTTTTATCACAGATTCCTTGCAGCTTGGAATACTGGGATGAGCTTCAGAAATCATTTGTTGCATTCCGGGAATTCAGTCTATCAGAAAGCAAAGTCTGTGAACTACAGCTGCCCAGTATCAACCTTGTGAATGATCAGAAAGAGCTCATAGCCTCTGATCTTTGGAGGATTGTCCTGAACAGCAGTCAGAATGTGGCTGATGACCAAAGGTAATTTTAAAGGAGGAGGGAAGAACAGAAATCTAATGCTACACTCTTGAGAGATCTTTTTCAAGAGACTTAGGAAATAAGATACTGTTTTCATATGCTGTAAGAGTAGCTGGTCTTAAATGAGCTTCAGACTGTAGTTCACCTTCACTCAAGGGCATAGAATACACACAAAAAGAGCTCTCTTTTAGATTTACAGGCAGCCTGGCAGCATCATATTCATCAATTTTCTGAATACAAGGATTACTGAAAAGTGAAGACAAACAGTCCATATCCTGAAACCTCTTAGCTGCACAAGACAGTAAAATTAGCTAATTAACAAAAGAAGGCCAAGGCACAATCCATCGTATAATGTAGTAGTAAACATTCTTCTTCCATGGACCCCCCCCCTCATACATCACCTTTATTCTGTCCTCAGTGCAAGTCAATGACTAAAATAAGTCAAGTGTCTGTATTAAATATATTAAACAAAACTTTAGTACTACAAGAGCATTGTGTTATTCACACAGATTGCTTACTATGCTAACAGTAAAAAAAATTAATTGGTGTTTTCAAACACTGGGGATCCATTTTTTATTATGTTTACAGCTGGAAACAATGTACAATGACAGATACTCACTCTGTTTGCATTCGTTCAGTTTTAGTTAATATGTAGAGTAAGAAGAAATGAGTACAAGTTCTCTCCACAAACAGCAGCAGAATTACTTTCAAAGACTTTCTTCACGTTTTACGGTTAGAAGAGAAAACCCAGAATGACCCTGTTTGATTATTGGTATTTGCTGATTATTGCTGCCTGTGTATGAACGCATGCTTGAATGAGTGTGCAGCATCCACATATATGTTACGTGAAGCTACAGAATTCAGAGAAATTGGGAAATATTAACATGGCTAACAGAATCAATGAAGAAAATTAAACATCTGGTTTCCATTAATAGTATCAGGTTGGAAATGATTTCTTGATGTTAATTGTGAAAGAATGCATTTTCATCATTGAGAAGTTAAGTGTTTTAGACAAGGTTAATTCCTCTGAATGTGGGACCTTGGCAAAATTGCCTTCCTGGTCAGCTTAACACCACAGAAATGTGAACTCGGTGGGAACTGAAAATGAAGTAGTGAAATTTAGTAGATTTTTTTTCATCAAGGCATTTGGCATTGTAATCATGTTTATTGTTTTCTGCTCAAATAGGGTTCATCACTATCGGCAATGTTTCACTCAGGGAGCTCTGATAAGCTAATGAGTTGTAATCATTCAGAAAATGCTAGGGTTAAAATGAAATACAAATAAGTTAAAAAAAAAAAATAAAACCAGTTTGGACCATGATTAACATCAGAAACATTTCACAGCACAACATGAATTCACCTGCCTAGAAGGTCTAAACTCATGAGTTTTCAGCTGGGAGGCTGCAGGCCTGCCCCACAATAGTGACCATCCTCAGTGGTACCAGTGTGTCGAGTTATAAAGGGGTAGAAATATCCTAATGGCCTTGAGGTACCAGAAGACAATTGCTCTGTCCACAGCAACGATACTAGAGGCATTATGTCCTCCATATAAAGCTAAAGCAGAAACTACAACTGAAAGAACAGGTATTAAACTGAAGCATTAGCAGTTCACTGAACAGGGATAGCAGGAGAGGAAAAAAGGCAGCAAAAAAACATGCACCACACTACTGAAGCATTTGAAGGTCAATAAATAGAAGAGAAAGAGGGAAGTCAAGGGAAGGTGTTACGAACTGCCAGCTCCTTAGGCACATGCATGGAGACTGCCAGGTCACTAGTCCGGATACTTTTGGTGGCCTGAGGAATTTATAATAGTTTTAAGAGGTGTCGTTTACACCTACATAAACTAACAGTAGACTGAAAAGTTAAGGATTCTTGTAGGTCAGGGTGAACTCCATCCAGAAGCCAGAAACCTGAGGGATGCATGAAGAAAACCTCTGATTTCAGTCAGAGGAGAGGAAAGATTGTATTCCCTGCCTCAGCCACAGTTTCAGACAGAAATTCAAACTGATCTCTCTTTCTACTAGCTTCAAACAAGGCTGTACTGCAAGCTTTCTTCAGGATGACTGCAGGAAGGACTGGCGTGGAAGAAGCAGTCCTGACCAGCCTGGAGTGATCCTTCTCAGAGAAACTTAATGGGTCAGAAAACGAGCAGCTGTTCCTCAGAGATGAGGCTTTGCCCTGTGGTGTTTGAGGCACGCTCTCTCTTTCTTGGAGACAAAGCAAATCATGCCAGTCACACGTCACTGACCTGGAGGTTTTGAGACAGTTCACAAGCACTGAAATACATATAGTTACAGCTACAGAACAAGCTTAAGGTAACGGTTGAGCCCCAAAGGATCACATTCTGTTCAAGGGAAGCCTTGTTTAGGAGGTGGTGACAGATACTGTGGACCTGCAGAGAAGGCCAACCTTTCTAGACCCTTAGTAGCATAGGAAGTCCATGTTGGCATTACCTTTGCTGACACTGTGGCTCTGTCTTCATCAGACAAACATATTGCTACCAGTATGGGTATTTTCTTGTGACCAAGCACTCTAAAATGTATTCTGCATTCTACTTGACAAAAAAATCCCAAACTTTTTTGGTTTTAGAGAGAGACTGCCCCATGTCATGGTAAATTTCAGCGTTAGGCTTGTTCCTAAAGCAAGCGTTTATAACGTGAGATCTTAGACTTGTGAGAAGAGACGCAAGGAGCTGTGCTTAAAGCCAGTGCTGAGTGTTAGACCAGGGAACTTCAGGGCTGAGGGCATCTGCAAACGAGAGCAAGAAGTGAAGACTGTATAAAAGTTGAATCTCGGTTTTCCTGGAGACTCATGGTGATTTGACCTTAATTACATGCTGTAACTGTGTGATTGATTAGCAAATTTAATTCACTATTAATTGTAAAGTATAAAAATGCTTAGTCTTGTTGAAGTTTATTTTCTTAGTTTGATCTTGTATTTTGGGTCAGACTCTTAACAGCTGCCATACGCATGCAGCTGCTGCTCAACGATAATATTTTTTCCTTCAAATTCTGCAGGGTTTTTTTTTTGCGGTAACCTCTGCGATATGCTAATTATTAATACCAGAGAGTTGATCCCTTGTGTTTTAAGTACTTTATTACTGATTCCTAGCATCAGTTATAAAGTATAAAACTTATGTGGCTTGTATGACAGGAAAACAATATTTGTTAGAAGATGTAGATCCAGCTGATATGTTGAGCAGTAGCTGGCAGGCTGAAGTATATCAACCAATAATGAATATGGGAATACACAAAGAAGTCATGATCCAAATCCTGTGGTATGCAAGCTCTTTCGGAGATTGATCAGGAAATAATTAGAAGTATAAAAATCAAGGAGCTATCTGGTTAAGGACATAGTATATATGTGTATTGTTTATTTTTAAGAGTTTTGTAGATCATTCATTATTCAGTGAATGAATAAGGTTTGAATGAACATTTATGAATGTTTATTCCATGAATGAACAAATCTGAAGTCCTAAGTGAAATAATTTAGCAATCCCTTGGGGACTTAGTATAGTGTCTGTGGAAGGAGTCATATATGGCATAAATGACTTTTATAGAAGACCTTAAAATAGGGGATTAAAAGAAGATTATCATAGAATAAATTATTTTTATAGGTTGCATAATCATGTTGCAGGACTAGTAAATTATAATCAAAATTACTTTTATTTAAAGCTCTGTTTGGGTGGTGCGACACTAAAGTCCCTCCCTGGTTTGGTTGGGAGGGGTTTATCATTCTCTGTTTAAATGGGTTACGTTACAAGATGTTTTATATATTTGTACATCTCCTGTCTAATGTAAACAGTATTTTTATAATTACTGACATACTAATGTGAAGTAGTAGTTGAAAATACCTTAAGATACAAAGCATGAAACAAGTACAAAAACTTTTAAATAAGCTTTAAATTGCTACTTTTTAAAAATTAACGTGAGGAATCATGATCATGTTTCTTGCTAATTGTTTTAGCTTTTATTCAAAGATGATGTACTGGATTTTGACCTCTAACAATTTGGGTTCAGACCAGCATTTGAGGCATAAATTAAATGAGTTAAGTGGTCTCTTTCTTCTTCCCAGTGGATATTTTCCCATGTTGTGGTTTCATCACAAATGGGGGTTTTGGTTTAAATATTCCACTCTTAAAATAACAAGAATAATGCAGGTCACTGTTAAGTCATTGTTCCCAACTGCCATATATTTAACTTGAACTGCTTTGCATGATGTGAGACTGTCATACTTTGATATATAATGACTTCGAATGTAGGTATTTTCCATTTTAAAAATTCTGATATTTCACAGGATAAAAAAAAAAAAAGATTTTTTTCGTATTGAAGTCAGGTCAGTTTTACTTAGAATTTCCTCTGGTTTTGCTACACCCATCCCTCAGCATGTTGTGCCAAACACAAAGCAGTAGAAGCTAGTTACTCCTTTTCTCCCCAGCTGAAAAGTTGCAGATGGTCCACACTGCATTTTGTAGCTCCAAAGCAGCCAAGAGACTATGGGATTTTTTTTATATTGTATTCATTTGATGCACAAATTTTGATTTCGCAATCAGGTATACCTCTATGATATTAATGCTCCTACTGTTGTTCACCAAGACTTAATAGAAAGTTCCCTGGGCTTTCAGCTAACACTGCTTTATTTTTTGTTTCTGCACAGCATGTGATGAAGGACTGTGTCTTTGATTTCTGTGCTTTATGCAAGCTAAAAGGAGGAAAGTAGCAGTGCTAAAGGTCTGGCGGAAGTCTACCTAGGCAGTTTAAATGGGATTTAATTTAAAATCAGAAGGTCATGGTAGTGATTGTAAGGACTACAGCCCCCCTTTGAAAACTGTTCACTCAATATAACGATCTCGTATTACAGTTCTTTTTTAAGGCAATACTATAGTAATTTGGATGCTGCTTTTAGTATATTTTGTGCTGTAACTGGTTTATACTGTTACTGTATTTTTATTTTCATAACAGCATGGGAACTATAATTCTGGATACGGTTTCTGGTTGACTAAAAATCAAATGGACCCTTTCACAGATAAAACAATAAAACTTGAACAAAGTCTTTTCAGACAGGAAAACAGTGATGAAAGAATCCTCGTTGCATTTCTTTTCAGTTGATTTCTAGAAGGTGATCTTCTCTCTGTAGCGTGACTTTCCCTTCTAAGATATGGTTTAGCCCATGTTGTCCTGCTCCTCTCAGTCCTCCACTGCCAGCGCCTGTCCATCCCTATCACGAGAGAGGACACAAGGCCAGTTCTGTCCCAGGGAGTAACATTGTCCCACCCTCATTTGCTGTTTCTCTCTGGTTAGTTTTTTAAGCATGTGGTTGGACTCTGAAATTTGTTAGGGAATCGTTTCAGTGGTGGACCTTTGTGGTTTCTCAGGTGACTCTCCATGAGGAAACAAAAACCAGTTTGGAATCATATTGTTCCCAACATTTTGAGTTCCAGAATATTACCTCTGCTTGGTCTGCTGCTTCTGGGGCAGAAAAATCAGAGCAAAGTAAGGCTAAATGCTTTAAGTTATTTCCCTCGTGTGAAGCTCCTGCCACATTTCCTCCTGCATCAAGCATGTCATGTTACTGTGTAATCATTGCAGTTATGAATGAGAAATTACAAGGGTCCCATCACACTAAAATGCTCAATAAATAAAAAGCACGTATATAAAATTTGACTAAATAAGAATTTGGATGGTTTTGTTTGTTTTTTATTTTATGAAAATATCCATCTCAAAAAAAACATATCCAAGGAAATAAAAATGCTGAGTCACTGATAGGTAAATAAGGGAATAGGTTTCCAAGGAAAAGAAATTTATAATTTCAGAATAAACTTCAAATTTCAGAAATAAATGTCCTTCCTTCTTACTGCAGTTGGTGTTACTGCAGTTTGTGCAAATTAAGTCTTAATTCAGAATATCAAAGTGTAATTATTTTTTTTTAAAGTTCCTCATAGTTTGGTTAACATTTGTTTGCACCCCTCTACCCTTTTTCTGTTTTCATTCCATATGTCCCTGAACTTCTGTTTGTAATCAAAACACAATGAGCAAAAATTCTTAAAATGTTGACAGTTACTTTGAGAGAACTAACCAGTTTCACAGGTTCAAAATTATTTAATGGTCTAAATCAGCATATGAATTTTGGTGGCTTTTGGATTTGCTTCCATCCTTTGTTCCAACAATCTAAGGAATATCCATGGCAGAGAAAGAAAAACATCCCATTTCTGTGACTCTAGTCCACTCCCATAGGAGTTTTATCATGTGAACACAAAGATTAATTTTATTTCAAAAGAGGCCACTTCTCAAAAGGCCTACAACACCATTTTTGAAATGTAAACAGGCAATTTGAAGAGGTAAAGCAGCACAGGAAAGCAGCTAAAAATCTGATTAAGTGATCTGTCTTTCATCCTTCACTGATCCAATCCATTCTTGATATCCTGTCTTGATTCTTTAATAATTAGCTAATTTTAGTTGGGTTTTACTGCTACACAAGTAGTAGATTTCTGTCCACAAATCTAAAGTTGGATTTAAGCTCCTTAAATAAATACCACACTAGCTAGTTACCGTAACGCAAAATAATAGTGATAAATTTACCTGTCCATGGAATTCTATGCATTTGCAGCTGAACATTTTGAGTACCTACTATATTTGTGCATAATTTTGCAGTAACACACATGGAGTGATGAAGAATTTGGTCCTAAAAGCATAAGACGTGTTGCTTTGAAAGCCAATGTTCAAGTTTAAACTTGTGTTTGAATTTAAAATATCTTTAAAATGTCAGTGGAAATCTATTCATGGTGCTTTATAAAAGCTAATTACTTTCTGACAAAAATAGTAAGTTGGCCTTAGTTAATCCTTTGGTAAATTTTATTTTAAAAATAAAAACCAGTATTAGGCTGAGGATGAGGACTTAGTTTTCTTGAATCAAGTCTATGCTTTTAAACTAAAACTATTTAGTGCCAAACTGCAAAGGGAGTGAGAATAAGGAACATTAAGGATAGATTTGGCTTAAATTAGAAAGTTTATTTGTACTTCAGCGGTGTCTTAGCAACCTATAGAATTGTGATGTAGTGTTAGTTTCTCTCAAGAGACTGAAAGATAATGCTTGGAAATTCACGGCGTCAGGAGCACGGCTAGGAAAAAAAAAAAAAATCAGTGGGGTGGCATTTTAAATGTATAGTTAATATGTTGTAATAGGTGCTAGTAAAAGGCTCCAGGCTGAGCTTATAACACTCAGAGATTCTTTTTAAATGATGACTGTAGAATGAGAAGGTCAGAGGAAAGAAAGCTTACAGGGACCGGGTTTATGCATAGAAGTAGTTTGATGGTTGTGAGTGGTTTGCTTAAAATAAAATGAAAAAAAACATTCTCTTGACCAGGTTAACTTTCAGCTCATTCTTATAGCTTTAATAATGGTAGTGTACGCTGTTCAGCTATTTCAACAATTAAAGATAGCTGGTATATTTTGGTTTTATTTTCTGTAAATATGCTTTACGTCTGTGGCTCATTTCAGTTTGTAAATTGAAAGTACAGTGTGTGAAAAGCGTTGGATTGCAATCTTGTCTGCTATGTTCTGCTTGGGAAAAAGTACATACACTCACACTAGCAGTTAAAAGAAAATGATGACATTGGCTGTGTCAGAAAACCAACATGGCACATGGTCAAGTCTTACTGTAAAGCGATAAAATCCTCCAAGTGCTGAACTACCACTTTGTTATCTACCTTCTGCAGCTCAGAAAGTGAATCTGGCTCACAAAGTGCATGCGATCAGCTTGTAACCCCCACGGCATTAGCAGCCTGTACCAGGGTTGACTCCTGTTTTACTCCTTGGTTTGTGCCATCACTAAGTGTGTTGATCCAATTTACTTATTTGGAAGTCCACCTCTGCCATCATCTTGATCAACTAGGCACAGGTATGTACTCCTTTATGTAGAATAATAAGAGCATATAGTTCATACGTGCTGCTTAATCGCTGTTTTGCTGTCTGTAGTCCCCATTTCCTCATTCAAACAGGCATTCTTGAAATAAATTATCACCAACAGCCACCGGTGGTACAGACTTCAGGGTAAAACTGATGACTTCCGTGCATTGAGAAAGTGCATACGGGAGGCGGTGGGGCTGGCTGCTCAGCCCCCTTCCTCCCTCCGGAATGGGTAACTGTAGAAGCCGTCCGGTTTTCGTAGTCTGATTAGTGACAGCAGGTGCCACTTCAGTTTTGAGCCATCTTAGTGAATGAATTTGATCTTTTAAATTTTCCAGCGTATTAACAGTACTATTAAAATATCTGAATTCTTACTCCTTAGTAAGAATTCCTTGGAAGAGCTCTGAGAACTGCAGATTTAGCTGTTATTTCAATTATGATCACTTTTGGAGCTACATCTGGTTTTGTTCAGTGCTCTCTGTCATTGCATTAATGGCAAATACATTCCAAGAGATCTTTAGATTATTGTCTGATTTTCAAATGCCAGGAATGCTTTCCATGGAAGATGAGCAACTCTCTTAGATAATTTTGACAGAGATGGCTTTCTTTGTGAGCAGTTTTTGTGTTTCAGCAAGTATTATAATGTATTCATTATCAAATCATACCAAGACTGACACTCAACATCTAGCAAATAATTTCTTGTCTATCAGCTACCTCTATCAGTACATAATCTTCCTCACTGTTAGACTCCAATTCCACATGCTCGATCTTTAAAATTACACGTACTGGAAAAAACAAAAATCAGATTAAAATCAAACCCAGCTGTTTCATTTTTCAACAGCAACTGAGTTTATGCTGATGCTGCTGTTGTTCTTGTTATAGCACCTAAAGGCCTTAAGTTTTGGGGCTCCGTTGTGCTATGTTATACGCAAAGGGAGCACAAAACTTACACTATCCATTATGCTTTTGTAGAATAATAGGGCTTGATCCTGGAAAGTGATGAGTGTTTTGGTTCCAAATCTGTAGAGCACTAGAGCATATGCTAATTTTAAGCATATGAGTAGTTCCAGCAACGTAAATAATAACATCAATGGAAATACTCGCACGCATAATGTTAGAGAAGCGGTGTACGTGCCTTGCAGTGTCTGCTGCCACAGCGTTCAGCACTTTGCAGGACTTGAGACTTCAGTGAACGCGCTAAAATCTTTTCTATTATGTATTTCTCATGCTTTAGGCTTGGGATATTGTTTTGTTTAATTTCTAGTATTGTGGGGTAATATGTTGCATCTCAGTGGGTTCGTGGTCTTGAACTCTCTGCAGCAAAGACAATTTTCATTGTGGAGCTGGGTAGCCTGCACAGTCACATGTCAGCAAATATTATATTGCTCATTTGTATTGTATTTGTAATGTGCTATGTGTGCAATATCATATACATCTACTATACCAAAAATTCTCACAGAAATATGGTCTCTGCTCCAAATAGGTGGCAATCTGAAGTATTGTGCAGTGTGTAGATAAAGGAGTTTGGCTGGCTGGTCTATTTACCATGAAAAGATCTTGGTTTGCAGATACTTTTTGTTTGCAGCTGCTGTTAATTACAGTTCTATTTTACATCTAATAAACAGTGTGAACAGGATTAATTTCAGATTTCAGAAATGTCAACTCTTATGAATTTTACTAGTTTTCATGGTACGTGCAAGCAGTTAAAACACAATTTACAAAAACACACAGAATGTGGCAATGGAGATGTTCTAGTGTTGTTTGCTCTTTCACTTTTCAGCACCACCAAAGTCTCTTCAGCCGTTTTTATCTGATAAGAACATGCCATCTGAACTAGAATACATGATAATTTCCTTTGATGAGCCTCATGTATATCTTCGTCAGTGGAGCGATGAGTCGATGTTCCAGGAGATCCAGTTTTCAACTCAAGCCAACTGTAAACTTTTGGAGTGCCGAAACGTGACTATGCAGAGTGTTGTGAAACCTTTCAAAATCTGGGGGCAGATTGCTATTTCCAGCAGCACAGTAGGAAGGCTACTGGACTGCACGATAATGGTGGACCCTATTTTCATCAACTTTGGCCAATATGCACTTCATTCTCTAAATACAGCAATTCAAGCTTGGCAGCAGGTATGCAAATACAGTAGTGAGAAAAAATGTAGCTATTGTGATTAATTTAATAGCAAATTAGAATACCAACTGCATTCATTGACAATATTCCAAGATGTAAAAGCTTTAATTTACCCTAAAAGTGTTTTTTACTAATAAACATTAATTCCGTGATGGCAGTGAAAATTAAGAGACAATGAATGCTATATGTAAAGGTAAATTTAGCCAGAACTGCTTAAGTTTCAGTGAAACGACATGGATTTATATCAGAATAATCAGAATCTTGGTCTTGAAATGCAGAATATTCCGTTAATTTATGAAAAGGTGAGTGATGCATGATGTGTAAGCACAGCTCAGTCTGAGCGGTACAGCATATTGTTTCCAGCTACTACTTCTATCCTTATTGAAGTTCAACACTAGTTTCACATTACATTCTGTGCGAGCAACATTAATGACTGAAGCCGGTCCCAGCGTAAGGAACCTTGCTTCTGCAATGACCCCTCGAAGGCCTGTAATTCCCTTACTCCACTATAGCCTTGAAATCAAATCATTCTCTTCATCTGCCTGAAGACCTATGTGGAGCCTGGGAATTAATTACCTATCATGGCACTACAATAACAAAGCCCCCAAAAAAGGATAAAACATCTGTTTTATATCAAAAAATTCTTTTTTAAGGGCATTCCATGGTTTTCTTGTTGCAAAAGGACATTCATAAAACAAGATCTAGTGTGATTTAAATCTTTACAGCTGGCTCAAATATCAATGTGAACAAAAATCTTTGTAGCTCCAATTTCTGTTTTTTGTCATATTTTGAACAATGCTTTTAATAAAAAACAAACATGGAAAGTATAAGAGAGTCCTTGGTAGGCTGTTTAAACCCAAAATATTTCTGACTTAGTACTAGTCCCTCATCTAAGACATGTGTGGCAACTACTGCAAAATGGCCTTCAGAAAGGTCAGTTTCCTCTTAGGATGGAAAAAAAAAGATCTCTCAGACATAGCTATACATACAAATAAAATATGGTGCATAAATATTTAAATGTTTTAAACCACATCACAGTGTGAATGACTGACTGACTACTCTGTGCCTTGAAGGAATATTCTGAGTTGAAAAAATGGAATTGTATATTTGATTAAGTAGAGCCATATGTTGCATAGTATATTGCTGACAGGTACATTCTATGAATAGTTGGTACTGATTTATACACGGATTTGGCAATGTTAACATGAGCCACAGGAGGATATACTTCTGTAATTGTTGCTGTAATTTTCTCGTTTCCTCTCATGTCAAGGGTACTTGCCACCATGTTCTGATGTGGTGGGTATCTAGCCCTGAGTATTTGAGATTAAAAACTTGCATGGCTTTGAAATTAGGGAACAGTTAACACACAAGTGGGTTCAAAACAGCTTATTAAATTAATTGTTACCAAGATGTTTTGTATGTGGCTTTACCTCCAGATTGGGGGGGTTGCACGCACTGTGCAGGAAGGGAATGAATTTCCCAATGATAAGCATTGTTTGATGTTTGCTGTTCACACAAAATACAATAGAAATGCTGCCAACTAGAAGCATGAATTTAATAAGCAGGAAAGGTTATTTGAATTCTCCACATTTTTTTTTTTTACTAGATTAATATCTGAAACAAGTGATGTTGTAGTCAGTAGAGAGACAGATGAAGCATGAAACAATTTGGCCCTGCACCTTTAGGTCAAGAGTTCAGGATTAACAGAACCCTCTCTCGGTGTCTTTGTTTCCTAGATATGGACTGATTTTTTGTTTGTTTGTTTGTTTTGTTTACGTAAAGATGAACATTTTGAAAGTAGATTAAGCCTAAAAAACACCAGGCATACAACTTGCTTTATAGTTTGAAGTCACATGCTGAAAATCTGAGAGGATTAGCACTTTTTTAAAAAAAAAATTCCCCTTTTGACATATTTCATTATCTAATCTGTAAGCAGTAACAGGCTAATGCCCATCTAAATGCAAAGCTAAACTAGTGGTTTTAATAATCAAATAACTGGACAGGGAACTTCAAGTTTGTTATTAATTTAGTTTTATTATTTACTAATAACATACAGAGTATCAATTGAGATAGAAAATGCGTGTCTCCACGTGAATACACATCGGGGGGGGGGGGGGCCCCTTTTTTTAAACCACCCGGGGGGGGGGGGGGTCCCCTTTATTTGGGCATTTAAGCCTTCACAAATTGTTTTATAGCAATAGTGCTGTGTGATATCTAGAGACACAGGGTGAGCTGAGAAAACAGCTCCCCAGGTATGGTACTGAGTGCATATTCCTGAGAAAAAAGCTATTCCTTTGTGGTCTCGCACTGCAAATGTTTTCCTAAACCCCTCAGAAGTTATAAAAACTCCTGTTTAAACCTGTTTTAAACCATTAGAACTTCTTTTCCTTGAGGTCCGCATGGTGCTTAACCTTTCTGTTGGCAGTTGCATACGTTTTCTTAATGAGCTGGGATCAGCCAGAATGGCATCTGTGGTCACAGGAGTTTCCCCATCTTTCTACCATAAGCACAAAGAACAAAGGAAAATGGGACAGAAGACTTGTGTGCAGCTTTGATTTAACTTTCTAGCTGATAATGTCAGGATACTGCCATGAGAATGAAGTTTAAATTGTCAGAAGGAAAATGTTCTTTTCTCTTAGAGGAACTTTGACGGAGATAAGAAATTGCTGAAGACTTTCTGTCCAAAAAACATTGGGGGGGTGGGGTGGAGAGAAAGTAAGAGAGAAGGGGGCGGGGGAAGGCTTGCACAGGTCTTCGCTAGCTTGTGAAGCACACAGAAAATAACTTTGTGCATATAAGCAGCATAGGCTTTTATGGGTGTTTTTTCCGGATCCAGAAATGCTTTGAAATAGCTGTGAGCTGAGACATGAGCAGAAAGTCCTGAGACAGGGAAGGCCTGGTGACTAGTATTATGTGGGATGTTTTTCCCCTCTCTGAACAGAATTCACAAAGTATTTGAAAGCCCAATAAAGGAGAGACACTTTCCAGGCCACTCTGAGAGAAAAGAACAGCTGAAAAATGATCTAAAGAGGGGCAGGAAATTGTCCCCCAGGAACTGACCCTAATCTGTATCTGATTCAGGCTGTTGATCTTTTGCTGATTCTTTTGATTTGCTGTTTTAATTCAGAGAGGGAATTTTTTTTCCTAATCCACACTTAGGTGTTTTCAGCTCCTGGAGTCATCATTCAGCTCTTCAGCATCATTGCCACACAAATGGCCCAGTTCTATTTGTTTTTATTATGTCTGGTTTCTCTACACTCTCTTTCATCAATCAAGATTTCCGCACTCCATCCTTTTGCTGATTTTTTTTTTTTAATTTTTTTTTTTGGTCCCTTTCTGCTTACCCTAGAAGCTTCTACTGTCAGACTTAAGCAGCGAATTTGGGACCCAGTTCCCTGTGATGGGTGCAGAGAGTGAGAAGCATGGGTGGTACTCTGGGAAAAATCTCCTGCAATTACTGCAAGGAGACTAGGAGTTGCCTAGAACCCTGCCGGTACAGTGCGTAGCTGCCATACTGGGCTAAAGCATCCCCAGACTTCCTTGATGATCCTTTAGTTGGCTGTTATCACCAAGACTTGAGGCATCAGTAGCTCTCTCTTAAGCCTGGCAGCATGGAGCAATGCCTTATACAAATCGTGGTGTTTCCTTGGTTGAAACTTTGGAACTGTCATAAAATTGAACTTAAAATACCTCTTTTGTTTAACTTTGAGAAGTGTTGCTGTTAAAAGCAGTGGATTCTAGTAGCAAATCTAGCATTTAAGAGTAATGATTAATAGCAGTCATTCATCAGCACCAAAATGTGTGCAAGTCTATTAATAATCCCTGATGGGATAACATTCCCCCAGTACGATTTAGGAGTTCTGTGCCTGCCAAACACTTGCTAGATTCTCTTTTCCCTCTGGAAAATGCAACAACCTACAGTTTGTGTTAACTTACTTGAAACTAAGTTAATCAGTTAGGTAAAAAGAAGGAAGTTCATCATCTTCTGGTGTTGTTCTTCCAGTCTGTGCATAATCAGCAAGAAAATGTATTGAAGTAAAAAAAATTTTCTTCAATTCCCCTGGGGTTATATCTAGGTTTGACTACAACAACATGCTGAGCTCTGTGGCTAGTAAATCCTCCTTTTTAAAATGAACATTTTGCAAAGCTGTAACAGGAAAATATATGTATTTGTGGTAGACTTACGGGTATGTGGGTATGGCAGCTTGACAGTAAAAAGTCATAGATCCACCAATAGAAAATGCCAAAATAAACTCTGCACTCTGAAGTGGCACTGTAAATGTCAGCCTTTAGCATACCCAGATCTGCTACTGAATGTGATACAGACATACTGCTCTGTAATGAGTTTTACTGCTTTGAAAAAGTGAGATTTTGGTTATGCTCACCTGACTTTTGTTTCACAGAAGATACCTGGTCTTATGCAGAAGAATTCATGAGATTTGGAGATAAGCTTTAATCTAAATATTCTCATGCTTAAACACTCCTCGGGCGAATAATTTTTTGTACAAACACTCCCAGTCAATCATTCTGACATTCAGTAACAAAAGGAATTGCAACCTGCGCCTTAGGTTCTTCTGAAGTTAGTAACGGTAGTGAACATGCATTCAAGGATGCTAAATTGGACATACCTTGCACGCCTCACTTTTCAGAAAATCTGTTCCACGTGTGTCACCCAGCAATGTGCTACAAGCAATGTACCAAACTGTTTTTCATGGATAACTAAGGATCCAAAGGGATCTGTGAGGAAATATTTTTCTCTCTCTTGTTTGATCTCTGAATGTCTGCAGGCTTCCAGACACATTGTTATCAAAGAACTGGAGACCCATATGATCATAGACAGAGGAGGTGCTAGCTTCATTATGTCCATTTAAAAGGTCCACTGAGAGAGCAAGGAGGGGAAACAGAATCAGCTCTCAAAGACCATGGAGGTCCCATAAGTTAGAGAAGACGTCATGGGAAGAAAGGATGAGAAAAGAGCAGCTGGGCTATATTGTGGAGAGAAGGGAACCAACCAACAATAAAGCATTGTCAAAAGTGTGTGCTAGGAAAGATGGGTCAAAAAGAGGTAACGAAAGGCACAAGAAGATGAATTCTTTGTGTTATACCCATTAAATTGCATGAAGACAATCCAAATGTTGCTTTCCTGGAGTAATTGTTATGGTTGCTAGATAGTTGTGTGTAAGTGGAAGGTGCCAGCCCACTAGTGACTAGGACAGAAATATATGAGAGATGATCTCCAAATCAAATTGTCAGTCACACTTTGACCTCTCCCGTATAGGGGATTATAGTTTGTGCCTTCAGGGGCGGAAGACCTGTAGCTCTGGTAATTTTTATGACTATCATATAGTCTCATTGGGTCAACAGAGTGACAAGCAGCCAGATGAAAAGCAGAAAGAGAGGGATGGGCGGATGCTGCAGGCAGGAGAAACAGTATTGTAAAATCTAAAATACTTTTAAAACCCATGACAGTTTTTGATTTTTCCTGTTCCTGTCAAATTGCATGATGCATTTTCAAACTAGCTTCTTGGAGCTGTGAAAATACTCTCCCCATGTCTCCTGCTTTTTCTTTGGTTTTTTTTTAAGTGTTGTGGTGTCAGGAGAAAGAGAGTGTCTTCTGCTGCTGACCCACAGCAACATTTCAAAGTAGAAGCAGCAGCTGGGGAAGAGGAAGTGCAGCCTGTTGGCCTGAGAGATCAGTTGTCAAGCATGGAGAAACCTCTTCATGCCTCTCTGCTCAGGCTGTAGTGCCCCACCTGCCCTAAGTGACGTGCCATTTCCAACTGAATTTACATAAAAGACTTCACCGAAAGTAAGTTAGGAAATCTAGTTTCTATTGTAGCTTCAAATCTTTTAAGATTTGCATTACAGAAACATAAAGGAAAATATGTTAAGTCTTAGGATATATTTTGTCAACCCAAACACTAGATTTTGCAGAGAGTAGAGTACTATGAGACCAAAGCTAATGGCAAGAGATCTTGAAGCATTTCTGTGTTGTAACGGTCGCCACTGGGCAGGCAGCTGCCAAATGTCTTGCAATTAATCTGATGCTTACTGCCTTTCATATCCCTTTCCTTTCAGAACCAATGCCCCGAGGCAGAGGAGTTGGTCTTCAGCCATTTTGTGATCTGTAACGACACACAGGAGACACTGCGGTTTGGCCAGGTGGATACTGATGAAAATATTTTGCTGGCTAGTCTCCACAGTCACCAGTACAGCTGGCGCTCTCACAAGTCCCCGCAGGTATGTCAGAAACAGCCCTTCGAACGCAGCAATTGCTAAAGCTGAGTTGGTGGCTTTATGCATTGATTCTCCAGTTTTCTCTAGGGTCTCGACTATCTCTAATGCTCCAGTTCTTTCAGGAGCCACACACTGGGGCTGCATCAGAGAGAAAAGGTAAACAAAGAGTGAGGAAAGCCAGAAGTGTTTAGAAGTTACTCGAGGGTAGAACTGCATGTGCACGACCGCTTTCTGTAAAACTGAGCGGTTATAGAAACTGAAGCTTCTGAAAAAAAGCAAAAGAAGATCGCTTGCCAGGTTTTTATAACTAAGTGATCAGTGTCTGTTTTCTGTGATGTACATTAGAGGTTTGGGGATTTTTTTTAATGAATTGTTTTTACCAGAAGCATCTGTTCACTGAAATTGTTTGCAGAACAGGGTCAAACTGGACAAATCTCTCAACTCAGCATGTGCTTGCATTAGAAAAGATTTGAAATTGTCAGAAACACCCCACTTACGTAGTTTAAATACTGCAGTTTCTGTTTCTTGGGTGGTTTTTTTAAGGATAAACACTGAAACTGAAATAAAATATTTTAAAATTATCAACAGGAACTATTTCAATGAAACCATGTTGTTGGTCGTCTTGAGTGGTGGTGAAAAAGGGACTTTTCATCTTGATTCAAGATAAGGCAAGAATTTAAATCTAAAAAAAAGTGTTTATGAGACAGCAAAGCCATTTCTTCTCTCTTTTTAATATATACCCAGCTCCTGCTGAGTGGGAGACTAGAGACCTGTGCCACCCCACTTGCTAAGCAGCAGTCCTGTGCTGAAGAGTTGCTAAAATCTTTCCAGATCCTAGAAGGAGTGTAGTGGACGGGGGTTCCGAACTCCTCTAGAGCCCTGGAAAATACCAGCCTTAGCATGTGAGAAAGAAGGTGAAATTTGGATGGTAATTCTGAACAGGAGCTGTGCCCGCTTTCACTGCTGACAAGTTTCAAGTTTCACTGGGAGGCAGCAATGGCAAATTTACAGTGTTTTTCGTTCATATGTCAGTCGGTGGATATGCAAAACTACTGAATTTTACATGAATGCGGTAATCTGTGCAGAGCAAATTCAGCCAGAGTAAACAGTTGCAGTTGACACTGAAGTCAAGGCATAAGTTAAGAGGAAGGCAGGCTAATAAAGGACTGTCTCACCCCAGCGACAGAGGAGTTGTTATAAGCAGCGTGCACTGGCTGCAATAGCGCACAGAGGGGGGACCTTTGGAGACTTAGAGACACTGGAGTACTGTATGTCCCTTGTCATGTTTTCAAAAAGGACATATGCTTTCTCATACAAGCAAAACGCCTGTGACGCCCCAGCCCATGGGCGAGCAACCCAAACGGGTGACTATGCTCTGCGCAACTGGGCAAGCGTCAGATTGCGAGACAGGATCCCCACTCCTCAGGTGACAGTACTTGCACTTGGGTTACGATTGACGTAACTCCCTCCGGTTCTGTGAGGCAGAAAGAACAGCTAGGCTTGTAGAAAGCTAGCTAAATGTGACCCATATTTCATAACCAATTATCACTTGCTTTCATAGCAACCACCCAAAAAATCATTTAAACATTTTCATAAACATATGGAAAAAGAAGGCAATGCTTAAAGCAATTGTAAGTAAAACCAGAACTAAGTAAGACTTTCCTCTTAACAATTTGTCTTATCCATTTTCTGATTACTTATATAAAATTACTCACTTGAGAGAATCCTCTTTTTGGCCGTCATTCTAGATAGTTCTGCTAATGGTGTAGTTCTGGTTATGGTGTACTCAATGGTGTACTTCCAATAATGGTGCAAACTGGAAAAAGTTTTGAAAATGAGGATTATCTCAAACAAGTGAAAAGTAGAAGACTTAAAATTGCAGCTTGTTACTGATACTTTCTGTCAGTTGCAGCCAAGCTGCTAAATACGACCAGCACAATATATAGCATTAGCCACGCAACACCTGGAGGAGTTAAATATTAAAACATAGATCTTTAGCTTGTCCTTTCAGTCACCGACTTGAGCTGTGCAAAACATTCTGGTTTTGTGGTCGCTATGTAAGTTTCTTATTAAATGAAAAATAAAAGTGCAGGATGGAAGGTGGAAAAGTCCAGCAGAAAACCAAATCACACATTAGGGAAGGGGTGAGGTGACAGTAGGAACTTCAGATTCATTTTTCAGATACTCATTCTTCAGCTGAAAGTTGGTGATGTCAAAGGGTTTCCCCACTCTGTTTTGCTCTGATCAGATTCAGATTCACTGAAGAACTGGGCTGATAAACAGTCAGGAGTGTCATGTTGGATTCCCATGTCCCAGGAGATGGAGTAGCTAGCAGCTCACTCCTCCTGACTCAACCACATTGCTGGCCAGCTGGCTCTTCTAGTAGGGGGGCTATACCTCCCTTGTCCCAGCCCCTGGAATAATTTCAAGAATATTTCTGCTCTTCTAACATTTTTCATCAGCCATCTCTTGCTGGGAAATTTTGAGACTAAAAAACATCACTGAGGTAATTTCACTGAAAACATATGGAAGCACAGGCTTTCCACACACTGTTGAGATAGAAGCAAATTTTCTTTACAAAGGTCGGAGAATCTTGGCATCCATCTATAAGCCTTGTTCATTTGGTTAATGTTAAATACAAATCACTGTAAATTTAGCATGCTTCAGAAAGGCAGTTCTTCTAAACAGTCTAAACAGGACAATCCTTTGTCATTTTAGATCACAGAAAATAAGTTTGTTTAAATATTATTACAAATGTTGTCATGTAGTTTCTTCAATGATTAATACAAATCCTTAAAATGAAAACGACGACTCAATTAAGACATCAGGTTGTCCCTATTATGCTGTGGCACTTTTCTAATTGTTTCCATGCAAAACTATCTAACAGCTTATTATCCAAAGGTCAGAATAATGCCCAAGCATGGACAAACCCTCCAAGTGTCATATTCATGGAATGCTAGATGACTTCATAGTTATGAAATTATTTCATTTCTCATGATAATTCCCAACTTGCCAAGTTAGTGAATTTTAAGAACTCTGAGAGCAGATTGTAAGATAAATGTGAAATAATCCATACTTCTGGAGTCAGGGACTTCCCTCCAGGCATTAGTTCATACTTGACTTACTTGACTTACTCTTGGGGATAAAATGAGTTAGGACAAGGTCTTAGATACCACATTCTCTTACTGGGAAAGAAAACCAACTTGCACAACTTTGGCTGGCTCATGTTTCTTGTTACACAGGCACTAAGAAGCAGCGGTTGCCATGAAATACTTTATTTAACCTCTGCAAAATGTTTTTTTAGTATGGCAAGGCAGTTCAGTTAAATGAAAATAAATAGTTTTAAAAGGATTGTATTTCTTTCACATTCACATCAATAAAATTCTCCATTTTTCTTCTGGTAATTAAGCATAGTGAGAGATGCAGTAATTGCCCATTTGAATTATTGAACACAATTAAATATATGTAATTAAAATAAGTTGGTTTTGTAGTAGCAGATAGTTATATAATGCTTTATTTACATTTAGAATTAATTTTAATATTAATGAAGGAACTATGGGCTATAATTAAAAATTGTTCAACTTTTTCATGTTACGAAAACAGCTGTAGCACACCAAGGATTTGGATTTATCAGTTATTGATGGTGTCCCTCCAACTGTTTGGCTCCTTCCTTCCTTCGTTTTTTTTCCCAGTCCAGATCTTCCACGTTTCAGGGAACCTAACCTTTCCCTTTTAACTTTCGCTCTGATTCCTGCAAGTCTCACTGGTTTGGCTAATATTTCAGTAATAAGTCTGAGGTCTGATGCTCGCTCTTCTACTCCGCTCCATCCCCCATGTTTTCCTCAGATTTCATGAGGTTTTGACCTTCCTTAGGGATAAGACACCCCCAAGTATATAGTCCCTTTCAGAGTTGGGGTAAGTCCAAAACTGATGATATTTGAGGCTGTAAGCAATTCTAGCAGAAGTTGCCAGACCTCGTGAGTTCCTTTTGCAGATTTTAATGAAAATTAGAGGTCTGTTAGATATCATTAAAAGGGAAGAGAAGCTACATCATTCCCGTGCTCTACAGACAACACTGGCTCCTACGTTATTATTGGATCCAGTCTGCACTCCTTATCTTGATCTTCAAGTTGCTTTGTGGGATGGGCCCCAGTTATGTCAAAAGTCATGTTTGTCTCCAAGACAGCTGTGTTTTTTAGGAGAAGAACTGGAGCATATGATACGTATGGTGAAACTCTGAAGATACGAGAGATCAGATCTTCATAGCAATTTACTCAGAGTTAAGGAATTCTGTCTTGCAAGACAGTAGGCAGTCGGAGGGTCCCACTAGGGATCACAGCAAATGTAAAAACCAGCTATTCATGTGAGAGTCCCCGAATGTATTCTGCAGAAGTTGTTTGCTTGAGAATAAACAGCAAAAATCTTCTATAACATGCTAGTTATTACTAGTTATTTTCCCCATGCTCAAACTTCAGCAGAGTCCTCTGAAGAAGCAACGAATAATGGATCTAAATTCATTATTTTGCTTTCTATGCAAAACGTAATGTTGCATAGGGGAAGTCTGCATTTAAAATAGCAGCTTCTAAACCTTTCTCCAGAGTCTGCTGCCAGGGTTATAACAGCCCATTTTCACTTTTCACCATCCTTAACTTGAAGCAACAGGTGTAGTGGGTAAAAAACAGTTACTATGTTGATTTGGGCAATGACTTCAGTGAGAATGTGGCCAAGTTACTGGTGATAAACAAAATTTCTTATCAAAGTAGGTAAATATGCCTGAAACAGCTATGTGCCACTTTATTGCTAATTCTATAGAATTTGAGGGAAAATATCTCTATCATTTGCTTTTCTGTTCTTCTGAACGTACACTTACAAATTCTTGAATAGATATTAGTAGTGGTTAGTATATTAGTAATACCGTCACTGGAACCCATTTAAAGTTTTTCGTCTCTTATTTTAAATAGTGTGCCTGCAAAGCACAACTTCTGCTAGAATTTTATAAACATAATTTTTAAAAGCAATTGTAGATTTGGAAATAGCTTTAAGAACCTCCTCCTCATTCCCCTACAAAAAAAGACTGAAGCCAAATTTTAATTTATGTTGCATCTGCAGCAGGATCATAATTCACTGTTACTTATTTCCAAGTTGCCATTCTTTCAGGTATTGGGTTATATAAAGTGTAAGATGATATACAGTACTCTGTGAGTTCAGACTTAGAAACTGTGACTTACATATCAGTTATTATTGGGATATTTTCCGGTTTTATTGTTTAGAGATGTTACAGATTCTCTGCACAACCTTTTGTACTTTCCATAGTCCTCCCCAGGTCACTTACAGAACATCATCAGGCAAAAAAAAAAACCCCACCCAAAACGTTTTATGTTACTTTACACTGTTCAGGTAGTGAGAAATGTATTGTTGCTTTCCTTTGGGGTCCTGCATTCAAAATCAATGGTTATATTATACATAACTGACTTTCTAGATAATATCTGGGGCAGATAAGGATTGATATTATCCATGAATCACATAAACCCTCCTAACTTGGTTGCTATTCCTTAACCAAAAGATTCTTCTTTTGCACAGTGTGCAGAGCTAGTTCGTACCTGTGAGGTTCAGGCCTGCTTTGTAGGTTGTGCTGAGGCTCGCAACACCTCCAGGAGCCCCCGAGGGTCAGAGTTGTATCTGCCAAGAGTGACCTTTCTTCTGCTAGCCAGCGTGGGGGTGATGGAAATTGCTTTCTCCTATGCTCCGTACTGACCTTCTGTCTTACAAGGGATGATGGTGTAGAAGTGGTCAGACCTCCCAGGTCCATGAGAAAATGAAGCCAAACTGAAATTCAAAGTGGTTTGGTGGCTGCTGCAGCTGACAACCTGCAGAATGAACATTTCATTCACTCTTTTCCCAAATACTAATTGGTTTTATTGCTGTAAGTCCTAATCCTGGACAAGGGCCACCTTGTATCCTGAAAACAGAGCAAAAAAATACTGATCATCCTTCTCCTTTAATTTTTCAATTAAAAATTGCTTTAGCTTCCAGTCTTAGAATTCAGCTCCAATCTCCAGGTCTCCCTTTCCTCCATGCTCCTGCATCATCACAGCTTTTATTTTACTATCTCGTATCTTTTAAAATAACCGCCTGCTTCCACACCATTAACCAAGTCCTCACTTGATTCCTCCCAGTCTCTGAGTTGACAGCAAGAACCCTTATTCTTCCCAAAAAGCATTTTCTAGTTTCACTTAGAAGACAGATATGATCTAACTACATTGAAACCAAGTTAACTTTGGTGGATCTACAAGCAAAGTAGAAATCAAATTCGAATCACTAAGCATTTTGAGGACACAAGCTTTGAATTATTTATACAGGTAGAAAATGCTGCCTTTTCTGGACAGGCTCCATTCTTAGTCTCATTTTTAATCTCCCATTTTAGTCTTCATGCCTTGTCATATGACACTTAGCTTTATTTACTCAGATTGTATCCTTCACACATCTAGCTGAAAACCTGAGTAAATTCTGAGGAGTGCATAGAAACATTCTGTGAAGAGATGTGAAAAAGAATACAGCTTTTCTAGCCATTTGCTCCAGTAGGAGCAGCTTCATCTTAGCCTACCTCCCTGAAGGCAATTTCTTTCCCTCTCAAAACAGAAATCCATAATGTCTCAGAATTACAAATCCAAACCTCAGCAAAGTCTAGTCAAAACAAAAAACTCGGTGTTTTCTGTTGATATGTTTCTCTAACAGAAAATGCAGAAATCAAATGGTTACACAAATGAGTGCCTGTCTTCACATATACAATAGATAGTCTGTTTTAAATTCTCTCCAAGCCATAAGTTGCCACTTATCACTGGATTATATTTGTTAGAATGCTTTTGAAGCCCACTGAATATTTTTGGTACCTTTTTGCAATGACTTCTCTTTCCTCCTAATATATGTACCATACTTAGCTATACTTGTTGAACTTCTCTTAGGCAGTGTCTCATAAACACTTAGAATTTACTTAAAGCTTGATAAATGAAAGGGAGTTACATGGCAATTACCATGAATCTGTAGTATTAGGTCAGTTTTAGAACATTAGAGCTCTGCCTTGTTGAGTATTTAACACCATCTATTATGATGTCTTCTGCTAAAATAATGTTAACACCTGATTACTTAATTTTCTAAAATTACTTCAATTTTTATTTCCTGCCATATATCTCTGTATTACTTAGTGTCATTTGCTAATTACTTCTAGCCATGTTTTTCAGAAATCTCACATTTAAATAACTGATTCACCCAGAGATCCCTTTGTGTTTTCATGGAATGCAGTTTCTTGGCTCAAAAATAAACTTACGCAGTACCCAATTCTTATATCGTTATGTCATTAATACAAATACATTAGATGTCTTTAAAATAACTTAACAAAGGCTGTTCCATTTGTATGTAGCATTTACCAGTATACAAATAGTATGTTTATAAAACAAGAAGTTGCCAGTATATGATAATAGCTGTATTTTATTTTTCTTTCTGAACTGTGAAGTTAAATGCAGACTAATCATTGTGCTACAATGAAAATTAGTAAGGCAGCGTTTGGGAGCTAATGACTGCTCAGGGAAAGCTGACAGCATGTTTCTTGGGAACATTCAACTCGTGAGCAAAGCTGTTTATACAGGGTGGGAGACATCCTAATGTTGGAGCTACATACAATTACTAATCATCGATTATGGCATTTATATGACATCTATCTTTGGAGCGCACCATATTTTGTGTGCCTTCTAGCCGAGACTGCGCACTTAGTACCTTTTCTCATTATTTGGCTGTCATTTCCAGCTACCAGTCTCTCCAAAGTAAACAGTTTTCTTGTTTCTCTCAGTTTTCATATGTGATGAGATTTATTCCCAACTGCCTCTGTAAGAAACTGAACTGATTCCAGCCACTGCAGTTGGATTTTTTCGTTTTGTTTTGTTTTTCCTTTTCTATAGCTAGTACTTAAGAATCAAAGCGACATATTTGTTCATGAGATTGAATGTCCTAATTCACAGCTTCCCTCAACGTGTTCTTGAATATAAAGCTGTGCCCACGCATGTGCATATCCAGGTGCATGCCCATGTGCACCCTGGCACATATTAGCCTTTGTGCTTCCAGCATAAAACTAATTTGAATCTGAATGCAAGTCATCACTTGCAAATTCAAAAGCCACCCACTGAATGGATGTTATTGTTGTGTGTAACTTGTGCTGAGGATACCACAAATTGCAAACAGGCTACTGAGTGGTAGTAGCTTTGAAAGTTGTTGCTGCGGTTGTTTCTTAAAACAATGAAAAAAACACAGTATCCAGCCCTTCACTAAGTCCAACCGGCCAGACCGATGGCCAGTGCTGTCTCTTTCTGGAAACAAATCGTGGGAGAACATAGTATTTACAAGTTTCGATTTTTGCTAGTGTAAATAATCAAACTTTGGGCCTGATCCCATTCTCAATTACTCAAATTAATTAATGACAGATGTCCAAAATCAGAGTGAAATTCAACCCTCAAGAGAGAATTCCCACAAGGCCTTTATATAACTGTTTTAAAGGACTTAAGTGATGCTTAGGCTCTGTGCTGGCCCTCTGCAAAGAATAAATTTTACCCAGAATGCTTATTGCTTTGATCCCTTATATATAACTCACATCCTTAAGTTTGCACAGCCACAAAAGATCTATACAGAACTAAATAGCCAGATCTTCAGCTGGCGTAAATTTATGTAACTTCATTGACCTACGTGGAACAGTACCAATTTTCACTACTCTGGCTTAAAGAATCTCCATGGGATAGAGGTAAGTGCGTATGGTGGGTAAATGGATGAAAGGCTCTTCAAATGATGAAAGACTATATTGCTCTGGAAGTGATTTAAGTTAAACTGGAAAAAAGCCACTCCTTTTCCGGAATAAATCACACAGGGAGTATAATTATGCAGTTAAATTTCTTCTCATGCAGTCAAGCTTGAACTTGCCACCACATTTGTGTAAGAAATGAAATGTTTCCCATCTCTCAGCAATATGCTAAGTTCTGCATTTAACACACACATATATGTGAGCTATGCAAGTATACACACAAATAGATTTGCGTCCTTCTTTACCTTGAAGGGAAGGGTATTTGTAATTTTCTATCTTATTCTGAAGGCCAAAAATCTGGCCTGGACCTGTGTTCCATATCACCTTGCTGGTAATAAAGAGGGTGAATTTCTAGAACCATTTCAAGGGCAATAAAGAAGAATCTCTTATTTCCTGTTTTATGCTCTCTAGTCTACATACCTCTTTTTTTTTTTGAACAGTTGTGTGCTGGATTTTTACCATTCTAAATACACTGTTAAAGCAGGTAATTTCTAGAAATGCGTGTTGCAGAGCCATCTTACGGTATTGTTGGATCTTCTGTTTGTATCTGAAATCACAGAATGAGTGAATCATTCAGAGAACTGGTGTGCTTAGCATTGCTGAGTTTTAAAACCAAGAATATTTCTCTGTCATGGGAATTCCTATCCTACTGCAAGACTTTTTTTCCCCAATTATGTACTGAAGTAGTAATTGCTTTCTTTCCAGCTGTTACACATCTGTATTGAAGGCTGGGGAAACTGGCGGTGGTCTGAACCATTCAGTGTGGACAATACAGGGACCTTTATTCGTACCATTCAGTACAAGGGCCGGACAGCATCACTTATTATCAAAAAAAATCAGTGGAGTGCAAAAGCAAGTAAGTATTTGGTCCAGTACGGAAAAAATAACATAAGTAATTTAAACTGTTATCTATTCCCGAATTAGTCACCTTATTATTTATTCCCGCCTACTGGGATCTGCAAAAAAACAAGTATAACAGTCTTCTGGGGGCATTTTCGGGAGTTTTTACAACTCTTTTCTTCACTTTGGTATGAATCTTAGTATTTAAAAGCTCAATTACCACCACATATTTTACATGTTCCAGTAAACATCCCTTTGCGTGGTTTGACAGTGCTAAGTTGCACAATCTCTTGCATGTTTTAAGCTCTTGAGAAGCAGAATTTTTTTTTTTTTTTTTTAGGAAACTGTTCATATCTTATTCTGGCTTGTAATTCAGGCCTTTGTGTTGTTAAAAAAGAAAGAAGTAATGACCAAATTAACATTTGAAAATGGGCTGCAGTGCAGTAACTTTTCACATGCTATCTTTGTAAAGAGATCTGTAGTAACACTGCAGTCATTCTGCTGGCGCTGGCAGAAGCCAGAGCATGTGGTGGACATAACATGTTCAGCTCATGGATATGGCAGAGCGCCTTATGTTGCACAACAGAAATACAGCTGATCGGACAAGAACAGTGCCTGGTGTCACTGAAAGCCCTGCTGAGATTTTGCTTGGTAGGTTGTGGCTATGATGTGTGCCCTCAGTAACGAAAAGCAAATGAAGATGGTTGTAGCAGGGATATGTGTGGAATGCTGTTCCTTGGTATAGCTTAGAAAAAGTCAGATACGTGTTCTATGATAAAACAATTCTTGTGTGATAGGCAGCAACAACTCTGAGCCTAATTTGGTGATTTTCTAGGTGGGTGCACTTACAGAAATATGGTACAGCCATTTAGTGGAATTATAAGCTTTAAAACAGCAAACGTACTGAAACGTCTGGACTGCTGGATTGTGATGGGAATGAAGTGTCAGTAGAAACCTTTCTTCTGAAGTACATCACTGTGCCTGCTCAGAAAGGGCTCAGCATTCAGAGACCATCACGGTACTCTTAAAATGCAAACCAGAGCTATGTCAGCTGTAGGCAGTACTGCTGAGTTCAGTAGGAATGAAAGCGGATACGTTACATGTTTCTTTCAAGCCCGGATACTGCCTTAGCAATATTCCAAGCGTTTTAATGCCTAGGTTTCTATGAAATTGCATATACATGTGGCCAATAAAAATAATGTTTTACCATTCACTGCCTTCAGCAGTACTTAGGAAAACTTAAAATAGAGAGATTATTCTTGTACAGGTTTTCACTCTATAATTTAATTTTGACCTTTCTTTTTCACAGTTGTTTATCTATCAGTTGCATATTTTTGTGTGTTTTAGATCCTAATCTGTGGAAGACAGACAGTCTGTAGTTACCTTTCTGAAAGTATTGAACTGAAAGTGGTTCAGCATTACATTAGTCAGGATGGACAGGCTGTTGTTAAAGAACACATCAACCGCCTTGCAGCCAAGCAGAAGTTGCCTTCCTATGTCCTAGAAAACAATGAGCTCACCGAGCTGAGTGTGAAAGCTACAGGAGATGAAGACTGGTCCCAAGACGTATGTCTAAGTTCTAAACATACAGAACACAGCACTGTCATTCAGGTATGACTAGAAATAGGTATATGGAATATAGGATAAAAAATGTCCGAGAGAACTGGGGAATTTGCATTGAGACTTCTATTTGATATGATGAAATGTTGAACATTATCATCCTGAACTAATTTTAGTCTAATGCTGCTGCTCTCTCTGCATACAGGTACCATCTTCAAAGAGTTCAATTACATATGTGTGGTGCACAATTTTAACTTTAGAGCCCAACTCTCATGTGCAGCAGCGATTAGTAAGTACATTTAATGCCTCTGAAATCTAAATGTTTATGCCTTACATGTCATATAACAAATTAAGGGCAGAGTGACCCATGTTAAAGATTTATTAATAGCTTGTTTCAACAGTTGTAATACTGGAATAAAATTAGCCTTAAATTGGTATATTCTTTTCTTTTTGCAGATTGTTTTCAGCCCTCTTTTCATTGTAAGGAGCCATCTTCCAGACCCAATTATCATACATTTAGAGAAAAGAAGCCTGGGACTGAATGAAATGCAAGTGATGCCAGGGAAAGGACAGGAGAAAGCACTGCAAAATATTGAACCTGATCTTACGCACCACCTGACGTTTCAAGCCAGGTAAAGTACTCGCTTTCCTTGAAAATGGTTCATTTGTATGGAAAAGAAGGAATAATTTACACTTTAACTTCTGGTGCATTTTTTCCAACTGTATGGCATTTGCAGAGGAGATGCAACAGAACAAGCATATGTGGCCTGAAATGATATGATAGGAAATAGTAAATTTGGTATAACTATCCTAAGCACATTGGCATTTGTTTGCTTAAGCAGTCCACATTGTGTTTTGAAAAATTCCTAAGCGATCTTGAAATGTTTTTTGAGAATACTGAAGAGTTTCTAGGGTCTCGGACACAAGGTCATTACAGTGGCATAACAAATTCATGCAGGTCAGTTAATGCTAAGGAACTTGTTAGACATCATAATTTGATTCATTCATGATTACCTTGAGAGTGTTCCTACCGCAGAGTGCGCTTGGAAGGCTTCATTAAAGAAAATGTTAGAGCTACTAATGCTTGGTCTTGTTGCATAAGTGACTGAATCTCTTTTCAATGACAGGGAGGAAGATGATCCATCAGAGTGCGCAGTCCCTATCTCAACCACGCTAATTAAACAGATAGAGACTAAATCCCATCCAGGTGGCAATGTCAACCAAATACTGTCCGAGTTCTATGGCACCACTAATCCTCCCCAGCCTGCGTGGCCCTATAATAGGAAGGATTCAGACAGGTAATTCTTTGCTAAACCTTCTTCATGGTTGTTGCATTGCCTTTTCAAATAAACTGAAATCACATTCAAGAAGAGTATATGTGATCAACATTGAATATGTTTTCAGTAATTACATGATTCCTGTATGTAAGCTGCAGAATCTGCTGCAGGTGGGAAAAAATTGAGGTCAGCCTACGGGCTGCCCTTGATTACACTGAGAAGATTGCATCAACAAGGATTAAAAAAAATGGAACCAAAAAAATGCACCTTCTTTAGCTCTAGAGGCTGTTGTTTATTCAGTAGCTGTTTGTTTCGGTACAGAAACAGGGAGTTGCTATAGGAGTTGCTTAAAAAAATGGAAATGTGATTTTATGACTACAAAAGTCACAGGTTTAGTTCTGAAGGATAGCGGTAATTCTGTTAAGGTGTTTCCTTTATTGACCAAATTTAGGTTGAGCTTATGCAGTTAAAAATACGTCTTTATAGCCTACATGTAGCTAGATCTGTCTGACAGCACCTCAGTATGTTCCAGAATGATAAGGTAAGAGGAGATTGTTTTTCTGTTTCAAAACCAGAAAAGCCTTGCAAATTTCTGAAAATGACAGCTTATCATTTGTGATCTTGAATTCATTACTCCTTTGACTTTATCTTTTTGTTTATTTGTTTTTGAACAGCAATGAACAACTCTCCCAATGGGATAGCCCAATGCGGGTAAAGCTGTCGGTGTGGAAACCGTGTGTTAAAACTCTGCTGATAGAACTCCTGCCCTGGGCTTTGCTTATCAATCAGTCCAAGTGGGACCTCTGGCTGTTTGAAGGCGAGAAGATTGTTCTTCAAGTACCTACTGGGAAAGTAATCATACCTCCCAACTTCGAGGTAACTTTGCCATTCACGTTAACAGGCACAATTCTGCTAAACGTTCTGATTCTGAAGAATGGTTATTAATCCAGATGATTCCCACTTTCCAGTCACTGTGTCTGTTAGTCGTATGATGAGGGGTAGAAATAACAATAGAAATTTGCCACGCTGACTGAGCCGCCGAGTGGGTAGCACGATGTACTTCATAGCAATGTTTGAAGAGCAACATGTCGTAAAGATGCACAGTAAAAAATTGCCTGTAAGACACTGTAGGAAGACCACCTGCATGCCATCTGATTCAGCAGCCTTCTCTCCTTCCTCGCAATTCAGCCAATGAATCTGCAATGTGGGCATAACGTAGCAGCCCAAGTAAATTGCTATAAAGGCCAAATATAGGCTTTGGCCCCTGCTGTGCCAACCTGTCATTTGGGAAGTATGTTGACCACATTAGCAAAGCTGACAGCCTGGAAGGAATGTTTGGTTTGAGAGTGTTTTAGGTCAAGTTGTTTCATAGCTTGTATGCTACCAGGAATGGTTTGATAATGAGATAGGGTGAATTACAAGCGAGGAAGATTCTTTAGGATGCCTGCCTTCCTGAATTCAGAGTTTTGTGTAATGGATCTTCTCACATACCTTAGCTTGGCCATGCACACGCTTTTTTATTACAACCCCAATATTCTTTATTTTTCAAAGAATTAAAATAATTTGACACAGCAGCTTGTCAATTCCAATTGGACAATATGATACTTCCTGTTTATTTTGCCATCTTTTTTTCCCCCTCCATGTATGTCTGTTAATAAACAAAAGGTCTGCCTATTAATGCATCTCAGTGTAGACTATGGTCTTGATTCCAGTGTGAGGATCAGTCCCATATCCACATTGTGGTTTCATCTATCCTTATACCACATAGAAAGTGACAGAGGGAGAACAGGAGGAAACGAGATTGACTTCATACTGGAAACTACATTTAACTCTAGTAGAAGCATATGGAATTGTCAACAAGCAATAATAAGTCATTTTTCACTTGCAGGAAGCTTTTCAGGTTGGAATATACTGGGCAAACACTAATACTGTGCACAAATCAGTGGCAATTAAACTGGTTCATAATGTGACCTCCCCAAAATGGAAGGATGCCGATAATGGGGAAGTAGTAACGTTGGATGAAGAAGGTTTTGTTGAAGCTGAAATAAAACTTGGTGCTTTTCCAGGTCATCAAAAGGTTAGAAGAAAATTATTATGATTTATAACTTTATAATTTAAAAACAAAGTCATATTGCAGATGAAAACAATCAAATGTATGCAATGTGAAAGCTCCTCCCTAATTGTGATAATACATGTAAAACGTAATGAGAGTATAAACAATGTTTGAAGTATAATTTAAAGAATTTGATTGCCGAAAGCATTCTGCCCAACTCATCAAGATAATACAATATCTCCTGGAAAAGGAATTAATGAATTCTCAATCTTGTTTGGAAAACATTGACAAATGCAACTTCAGAAGTATGTGATGTGGCTCCAGTTATGAAGTGCATGAATATAGACAGGATTTCCACAGTTGAAAAGAAAATGGCAGTTCTGTCACTGTATTTCAGTACCTTTAGTGGTTTTGTGTGTGACCTCATCATCGTTTTTATTATCTTACAGTTGTGTCAGTTCTGCATTTCTTCAATGGTTCGACAAGGTATACAAATTCTACAGATAGAAGATAAGACAACAATAATCAATGATACATCGTATCAAATCTATTATAGGCCACAGCTTTCTATTTCCAAGCCCCACTCAGGAGAAGAGGTAAAGCACTGTGGATACTGTTTTTATTTGTCATCTGTGGTACATGGGTGTTTAGATTTGTATGGTCTCAACTGCATATAGCAGAGCTTGAACAGAAATCTTTAGACATAATAATGATAAAGTATTTTATATCATTTTAATTTAAAATATAGAATCCTGGATAAATTCAACTCCAGTAATTAACTGTGATCAGAAATCTGTGCAAAGCAGGAGATTCGTGCACATTGCGGAATTAGTTCTGCCTGTTCTCCATCTGTTCAGGCACTAATGGCCATTTCTGTAAAATAGGCAGCGTAATCCGTAGTAGCTGTTGAAATTGTTCTCAGAATTTTTACTGAGTTCGCATGTAAAAGAGGTATATTGGCCTGGCAGGCTGAAAACTTTTTGTTATCCTTTTGGGAAGATTCCAGTTATCTGAACAAAGCTGCAGAACTAGAGACGTGCCCAAAGTTTATGTATTTCAGCAAACTGCATCAAATCGTGAATATCAGTTTTCCAATAATCGCACAGTATATTTAAGGACTAGCTTACAGGAACCAAAATGTATGCATGGTCAATATATTTTAACCAACCATTTATACATATTTATTGAAGATTACATTTATAGTAAAATATGTGGAAAGAATTCTCAGGGTCAAACTTGCTAGAGGAGTTGGCAGATAAACAAATTTTTAAAGTTCTTCACATCAGTATCTGCATTTGTGCATCATGCATTTTGTGGCAGTCTTATGGGATGGGGAATTGGAAGAATGTTGAGGCTAAAATCCATTCTTAGTTTTCTATCTATAAATGGATTTTCTTCTCACAGTTATGTTACAGTGATGTAACTGTTGCTTTCGGTAGAGTTATGTTGTGCAACTGAGAGTGGACTGTAGGTAACTGTGCTCAGTTAACTGCGTAAGTATACCTGAAGACAGAATTTGGCCAAATAGCTTTTAATGCAGTGGACTTAGTGCAACCTTTAGTTGGTTGTGGTCAGTTGGCTGCTTGAGAGTGTTCTGTGCAAGATCAACATGAATAAACGTCCTGTTAGGAGCCAGCCTGTCGTGCTACCGCCATCTTTTTCTTTCCAGGACTTCCACTCACCGGACAGTACGGTGTTCGGCGTCAGTCCAGCCGGGGCACCACCCAGCGAGACGCTGAGCGCTGTGCCCTGCTGGGACCTGATGTCGGACACCAGCCCCTTAACTTCGGGGGCCCCTCTTACTGAAAAACGCATGCTGCTGAGTTTCAGTCCAGGTGGCTGCGCTGGGAGTCGTGAGCTGTGGAGCCTACCAGCTGTCATTAAACAGGAGTTTCCTAGGCAGAGCGTGGCAGTGCCCACAGGGGTTTGTAGTGAAAGTGGATTTTGTACCAGGTACTGTACACTGAACAGTCATGAATAATGAACTTTGCTTGTTGCTACCAAGCCTCAGCTAGTAACAAACCATAAGAGATTAATGCCAAAGCCAGAGTAACGCACGCCCCCCCGTATATAAAGACAAGTCTTACTTTAATTTAAAAATCATTATCTTTTGATGGTTTTGAGGCTTTTATTGTAAATGGTTTAATGTTATGACCATGTACAAGTTGTACAATTTTTATAATGTATGGGCTTCTATTTTTATACATGCACACAAAATAAGAGCATGAAAAGCTTATATTCGAGATGGTGGTCTTTTTTTAATTTGTGGATAACAATTTAAGAGTTCAAGGACAGTGTGAAATAATACAATACAAAAATTTAGGTTTTGATTGTAAAAAGGTAAAAATGTATTTTAGTAATAATAATAAGAGGATAAACAAGAAAAGCAAAAAAGGGATGAAACTATTTTGAGACTACAACAAGGAAAGATTTCCAAGTTTTAAAGCTTGAAATACCCATATGCATGTGCATTCCACTTAAAAACAAATGCATCCAGCTAGTTAAAAAAAACAGTCCAATGACTTGTCAGATGCCCAGCTTTAATTCTCAGACCTGATATCTGAATCTATTCATGCTTATGCTGGTATAAACAAGAAACAATCTGCTGAAATTAGAGAAGCTACATCAGTATATATTACCAGCCATATGATCTTTCTCTTGCCTGAAGTGCTTGATATCATTCAAACCCTCATGCAGTTCCTCTGCAGAGTCTAAGAGGTATCATTGTGGATACTAAAGATTCTCATGCAAACTTCAGATTAAAAAAAAATTTAAAATGCAAAAAACAAGGAAAGGATTCCTTATAATTCTGAGACAGGCATAGAGGATCTGATGTTCCTAATCAAATTTTCAGACTGTTTGGATTTTTAAAATCACCATGAGGTGACGTTTTTTAGAAATAGCCAATAAATTTGCACAAGAAAAAAAAGAATTTGTGTTTATGTGTGAAGACATTTTATGTAGCTAATGAGTAGAACTAAATTAATTTCTTTTCATTTTGGAAATTTATGTAGTGATGATCCATAACATTAACATTTGAAAGGGCAATACCATTGTGGATCATTCTGGGGGAGCAGTCAGTTACAAATTTATGTATTTGTTAAAAATATCTTTCATGTGTATCAGAGAAGTATGTATGCAAATTCTTTTGGAAAATTTTAAAGATTTGTGTTGAAAATTTGTGTCTACAATCTCATGTTTTTAATTTAATAATAAATCTCTGCTGGCTAGGGCTCTCGTCTTGCAAACACACGTGCTCAGTTGAACTCATGAGTAGTCTCTGTGAAGTGATTTCTTCTCTAATGTTGTTTTTTGTGCTATTTCCATGTGTTCTTCTGTTTAAATATAATTCTCAGTGGAGATATGTACTTGCCTAAATGTATATAAATATCTGTGGAATTGGAACTTGATCATAAAGGACCTTACAGATGCTAGTTTTGAATGTTTTTAATTGTCCAGAGTAATAATATGTAAAAATTTCATCCAAAACACGCATAATCAAATATATCTGCTTCTGTTTTAGGGCTATAGCGCTGATTAATCAAGAGCATCTTGGCGTGACATACCTAACACTTACAGAAGATCCTAGTCCTCGTATAATTATCCACAATAGGTGCTCCGTTCCATTGCTTGTAAAAGAGAACTTCAAAGGTAGGTAGTATACAGTAATTAGAAACAGTGCACTGTTGTAGTATAAATTATTTTACTGTATCTCCAATACAAAGCTGAGTTCAGTATGTGTTTTGGTTACAACAAGAACTCGATGCCCTCATAAAGGTCTATCTCAAAGTGGGAGACTCTGGAAGATACTGAAGGCTGGAAGCTAGTGGAGCTAATCTTGAGGTCAGGAGTATGAACCTACATGGCTCCAGGCTTTTGGGTCTCCCTGGTTCCAACTGTCAGGGTGACTTGGCTGTAGGAAACTAGTAGGCAGTGGAGTTTTGTTGACATCAGTTCAATTCCATGGAACATTTAAATCTCCTCCGATTTGCAAATGTAACACAAAACATATTGCCAAAATTCCAGTTACAGTATGTTAATGATCAGTGGAACATTATTTATGTAAATCTTAGTGACATACTAAAGAAAAGGAAAAAAACGTGAGCACGTAAGTTTCCAACCAATAGAAAAGTTGTGGGTTTATTTATTAGTAATATTTCAGACAGAAACTTCCTCGTTTGTGTAAGCATAGGTAAGTTTTTATTTAATACGGATTTTAGAAAGCCCTAATCTTTTATATTTTATAAAATTTTAGATACGCCAAAGTTTGAAGTTTATTGTAGAAAGATTCCAGCTGAATGTTCAGTTCATCATGAACTTTACCATCAAGTCTCCAGCTATCCAGATTGCAAAACAAGAGATTTGTTGCCCAGCATTCTTCTGAAAGTGGTGTCGTCCGATGAATTAGTAAATGAATGGAGTGATTTTGTGGACATCAACAATCAAGGAACACAAGTAAATCGTTACAAACTATTTCCTAGTTCACAGCATAAATGGTTGTCTTCCTGACCTGCACAGTATATTGTTCCTCTGCAATAAGCTATCCTTTCTGTTGCTTGTGGCTTTTTTTATTTAAGTCTTGGGAGCTCTCCTTCCTGAGCCCCTTCCTGTGGAAGTTTTAGAATACAGATTACCTTCTTCACTGGCTGTTTTTAAAAACAGCTAGATCAAAAATACAGGCTTTCTAGCACTGAATTTTTTCACTTCTTTTTAATCAACCTGGTGTTCCCTGGAAAAATCAGTCTTGAAAATTTCTGGCCCTTATAAGCAAAGACTGCCACAGGATCCAGGAAAATCCTTCTATTTGGTCACTTAATTATCACAGGATTTTTATCTTTACATCTTGTAGGAATCATCACTGTCATTCTCCTTCTGTGTCTTCACAGAAGCTATGCATGTCTTTCTAAAACAAAACAAACCCCCCTTTTCTTTCCTTCTGTTATTTTTCTCCTGTTTTGAGGTAAATGAAAACTTCCTTGACTGGAGTAATTCTTTTTGATGGGAATTTTTTCCATCTTTGAAGTCATTAGTTTACATGGAATCAACATAAACTGCTTGGCTCTTTGAAAGAAATACTAGTTTCAGATGTTTTCCCTGGGGACCAATCACAAAATGCTCTTGATTATTGAGTGTTATGTTATATAGCAAGTAGTTCAGTTTCATTCAGCAAGGCAGTCAAGCAATGCAAGGTTTCAAATTTCAGTCATTAATGTTATGCCAGACCAGGGTTCTTTATAAGTATCTGGCTCCTAGAAGGAATTAGATGCTAAGACAACATTTGGGGATCATTGTCTACTTGAAGAACTCTCCAAATAAAAAGTGTAGCCTTCTGTTATTGAAGTTTTAGTGTTTACATGTAGAGAATATCCCCAGGACTTCTCAGTCATTCTCTTAGAGAACTATAAATATAAGTAAATAAGGAATATGCTAATAGCTTCACATACAGCTCGGTTCAGATAGTGAAATAACTGGAATTTAGAGGATCTTAAGTAATTTGTACTCTTTCTACCTAGTCACAGATAGGTACTTCTCATCCTATTAGAAAGAAAATTTTATTAATTTACTAAAATTAAGGTATTTATCATCAGAATCATCTGAAATTGGAATCAAAATGACAAATCTTTAAGATCAATGAGGGTTTTTTAGAATAATGAGGGTGTATTGAAAATTCAGTAAATGTCCTTTTTTCTCCAATTCCATCATGCAGGATTGCAAGTCTCTTTCAGATAAGCAAAAGATTAGAACTGACATACTGAAATTAGAAATTCTCTTATATGTAATTCTCAGAAGAATCAGACATAATTTGATCAATTTAATTTAATTATCTGTACAAGGTTACTATAAATAGTGAAATGAGAATCAGTTTAAGTGCTGATCCTACTAAATTTCCAAGTGCTTTTCCTTCTGGTGACTTGTTAACAGCGGTAAAGATTCTTCAAGACAAACAACTGTGCTAGCCCATTATCATTGTGTTATTCCTTGAGTTTGCATTCCTTTAAATTATAGCTTCTGTCATTACAATCTAGTAAACAGTTGTGTTGATAGTAGCCCTACAAGAAAACAGAAGCCAGCTTGCTCTAACAAGGACTGCTGTGAGTTTTCCAAACGTAAAAAGACCTTAATCTTTTATATTCTGGAAAAACACAAAGTCTGCACAGAAATATTGCCAAATGAAGCTCCAAAAACAATACATCATTTTTTTAAGTAGAATATTTATTCCTAAGGACAACTTGTTCAGAATGAAAGTTTTTGCATCTGTAAGCAGGACACAAACCTGTTGTCACATTCCTATTTTCCTGCCTTTTCAGACATTTTACACTTTCCAATAGACTTTTGCCATTTCTTTGTGGCAGCACCTTGCTTGTGAAGGTGTTATCACCAAACCAGTTTAGATGGCTTAAAAATGTGTTCAGTGTTGAGTTGTTAAGCAGGTCTTCATGAATCCAAAGTGTTACTTATTTTTTTTTGTCTTCATGTGTTTTGCATCATGCTATCAGCCATTCATCTAACCAGCTCTGAGCTGGGGCATAGTGACATAATGTTAATTTAGGGGTCTTTTTCTGGAGGAGAAGACGGTATTTTGTGGTGCTCCAGGAACATGCCTTTCTCCTTAATCCAAAATCACAAATTAAAATTTCCTATTTATTCTTTTCTCATATAACCTCCCCCCTCCCCAGCACGTCTTGCTTATTTCTGGAGAAGTTGTTTCTTATTAAAAGGCATTCAGTTATACAGTTAAAGAATGAGGTGCAAATTTCATCTTGCTGTACAAATGAAATACTTAAAGTGTCAGAGCTGTTACTTTCTGAAGTATTGAAATCTGTTTGTTTTTCCTGAACAGTATCATGATTCGAGTAAAAGATCTCAACCAGAAGGCATTAATAGGATTAATTCAAATTACGATGTTGAAAATAGTAATTTCAGTAGCATTCCATATGTTTCTAACTCTCTCCACTAGATTGTGTTCTTAACTGGCTTTGGCTATGTTTATGTGGACATTGCCCATCAGTGTGGAACAACAGTCATAACCTTGGCACCAGAAGGAAGAGCAGGACCTGTCGAGATCAACCTCAACAGGTACATAAAGCACATAAAAGATGATAAAAAGCATTGCCAAACAGTGCTGAGAGGTCAGTCAGCTTTCTAAGAGTTAACTGACTTACTAACGTTGGCTTAACTGTTTGTTTTGTTTAATACTGCTGCATGCTCTGTGGCATATGTTTAGACCATATGTTATGCTTTGTATATCACAGTTAAAAAAGGACAATCTAACATCAAAAGTCATGTCACTTTAGGGTAAACACTAGATGTCTGATACAAAAAGAAGTCCTAAGTTGTTCATTAAAAAAAGACACTTTCCATCATAATTAATTTTGAGTGTGTTCATCAGTTTAAAATGTATTTAGCTAGGTCCTGCCATCCATAATTGTACAAGCTCCCACTGAAATTGATAGGAAGCTTGATGTTCAAGGGCTTTAAAAATAGCGTTACAGTCAGTAATTAACTGTACTTGATTATAACACTCTTCTTTAGAAGATTTTCCAACACACCACAACTTGGTCCTCAGCTCCATTCAAGTGCAATTATAACACTACCCATTTCCAAGATGCAGAATGCCTGGCCTCCAGCAATGCTATTACAATTAGAGTGGAATTTGTTGTACTGTTTTTATTTGCACTGTAATTAAGTATTAATCCCCAAGAAACTGGTCATCAGTAGTACATAATAGTCCACTTGCTAGTTAAACTTGGCAATGGGCAGTTAACACTGGAGGTGGGGAGGCCCTCAATGCCATTGGTATAAAAATGCTGTGGTGGCTTCGTTGGAGGGCACTCACTGTGTGTGGTGTGAAATGAATTATCCATAATAGTAACCTTCAGTAGTGGCTCCCAGAAAATATTGTAACAGCTGAGGCTGTATGTGAATTATCAGAAAATTGTGTTTGTTGTCTGCTTTAATACCTGGCTCTGTTGCAAATCCAGTAGGGAATTCCTGTGTATATAGAGACATTCCTGTTCAAACTGTCCTGTTGATTGATAAGAAAGAAAGAGAAACCTGGCATAGATGTGTAATATTAGAAGACCTCCTGGGTGGTACCCACTGTGGTGATTAAGGCTGCCAGATCCCATTAACATTAATGGGACTTGCACAATGAGTTTCCCATGTATTATAGAGAATGTCTCTCCTGATAGTTTTTTGAGAAAGCAAGATGCCAGGTGAACTCAAAATGCATGAGGTAACAAAACTTCTTTTCCCTGCTGTCTAGAAGTCAAGAGCAGACCCTGTCACTGAAAATGTTCATCAGTCAGTTAAGTCTTGCTGCATTTGATGATATTACAAACCACAAAGTGTCATCTGAACTTCTGCGTCTCACAGCAGACAATGTTTTTCTCCACATGGCCCCAGCCACCAGCTACCTGAGACCCCTATCGCAGGAGCTCCAGCGGGACGCAGTGGACAGCCTCCCACAATTTCATAGTCTCCAAGTGTATTGTGAAGACTTGCAACTGGACAATCAGTTGTACAACAAATCCAATTTCCATTTTGCAGTCCTGCTATGCCAAGGAGAGAAAAATGAGACCGTGCAGTGGTCCAGAGTGAACAACCTCATTGTTTGTAACAAAGATTTGGAAAGCTATAAGGAAAACTGCTTTATAAAACTCTGCATTGCTTTTTCTGAGGAAGAGAATTTCATGTTTCATGTGAATGACCTCAGCTTTGAGCTCAAACCAGCTAGGCTGTATGTGGAAGACACCTTTGTTTACTACATTAAGACTTTGTTTGATACATATCTTCCAGAAAACAAAACCGCTTGTCAGTCCATAAATACTTCAGATACTACCCTGATACTGCCTGAACAAGTGAGAGAGCATGCAAGAGCTTTAGTCAAGCCAGTGAAGTTAAGAAAATTAACAATACAACCTGTTAATCTCCTTGTCAGTATTCATGCTTCGTTGAAACTGTATATAGCCTCAGATCACACCCCTCTCTCCTTCTCTGTGTTTGAGCGAGGACCCATCTTCACCACTGCCAGGCAACTTGTCCATGCCTTGGCCATGCATTATGCTGCTGGAGCACTCTTCAGAGCAGGTCAGTACTTTTCCATAACGTGTAACATTTTTATTAGGTACCAGGATTCCGTGATTGTCTCTCAAGCTGAATAACCTAGATGTTAGCCATACAATGATTGTTTTCCTCAAACACTGTTTGATAATGATATTTTCAGACACCTTTCATGTCCTGCCATACGACAGAACGGAAATAAAATGGCTGAGCAGACACCAGTGAAGATTTGGAAAGTTGTGCTAAACACTAGCCAGCCGCCTGAAGGCTTTAAGTAACCCTGAACGCAGCATAAAAATGTACTCTAGCTGGCTTAGGTTTTGTCATTTTATATTATAGCACTAGTCAGAATCAACACACATTCCTCACATAAACTCCCCAAAACTACATTTAATCAAATTATTCAGCATTTTGCTCTGTGTTCAGAAGTAAATTATAGCCCTGAATGTTGTTTTGTTGTTAAAACTCCTTTTGGCTGCAGTTTATGATTAGGAATCTGTCTTTCTTCATACAGCATTCATGCTAAACTGGCACACAGATGTTTGTTGTCCTTTGATCCGAGAACTATGAAGTTTGGTGTTACTAACTTTTTTCCATATAGGATCAATAGTGAGCAATTAGTCTATTAGGTTAGCAGGTACATTTTTTTACCCATAAATATTAATTTAGAAATAATGAAATTTGGTCTCTGCTGTGTGTTAGTGTAGAACAGAATTTGTACCTGAGACAGGAGGAAGCTCCTCCATGATGACACGCAAGTAATGTACTCCACACTGAAACATGGGATTTATTTTCCTGCAAATACTAATGGTCAGATTTTCTGAAATCCTGATGCTTCATTTGTGCTGCAAGCATAACTGCAACCTGATTTCTGTGCACAGTTTCCAAAATTGTACACGTGCATTTCAAGTATTTATAAATAGAGGGATGCTGATCTGGTCTTTCATGGTGTGCGTACCTGACTCGCATAGCTGATTATGACAACCGTGTACACAATCGTGCACCAGAACATTGTGCACTGATTCATTATTTTCTTGCATTATTTTGCTTGCAAAATTTGCAGGTTTTTCTTTTTGCTGCTTTTTTGGATTTGGTTTACAGTCAAATCCCGTAGTACAAAAGGGGAGATCTAGTTTCTTGCTAATGAAGAGTGAAACTGTGGCCAAATATGGTCCACTGTGTGAATGTTTCTCCCCACAACTGGGTAGGAGTGGTGACACAAGTAGTGATAGACTGCAGCAGGAAATTGGGGTTATACTGGCTTTTCATCTGCAACATCCCAGGTGAGGCGCATATGCTAGTGAGGGATTCCTGAGCCTGGTCTTGGTCTTTCCTCCTGTGCTACCCTTGCAGTGTGCAGCAGCGCACAGGCCACCCCTTGCTCTGGGCTCATGATGTAGCTGAAATCAAGCAGGTTTAAATATTAAGAAATAAGGTTTCCTTCAGTGGAACTTCTCTTCAGGAAAATACCTAAGCATATATTTAGTTACTACTTAAATCCCACTCAAAGCACTAAAACTAAAATGCATTTTTTGAAAGGCGTTACCATGATTAAAATGGTGAATTGTGTTGATTAGTGTTTGCTTGGACAAAGAAGATGCTTTATTTTGAAGAGTTTGTGACACTTGTCAAAAGGTTGACTGCGTCAACAAATTTAAAAAGGAGGAAGAAATGAAGCAAAAAGCTTTATATGGTCTGCAAACCCTGAGTCCTTTCCTCACCATGACGTGAGTTACACTTCTTGGAATGGTCTCTTATGGAAGAGGACCTCGCTCTCCTGCATTTTAACCACATTAATCTGCAAAGTGAGGGGTTGTTTGACTGCCCTTCTGCTCACCACTGCCCCATGCATAAATCGTTGTAGCATCTGCACGAACAGCATTCCTTATACAGCTACACCTTATGCTCCAAGCGGGATATAGTCTCATTTTGCCCTTAGCTGTGTGCAAGACCATTGCTGCCCTGTGGGAGGGGCCAGGATTTGCCCCAAAGCCTGCTAAAGGGAGTGTACCAGGCTGCCCCATATGTTGCAAAGCAGCGGCCAGAATCCATGTCTCGTAAGCAACGAATGGGGCTGGAGAGCTCTGCTCAAATATGCTGATTAGCATTGCTTGTCTCAAATCAGCAAAACTTGCAATGGAAATCTCCCATCCTTTTCTAATTAAGTTGGCTTCTATTTAAAAGTTAATAAAATTCTATTTAAAAATATTACTGGTATCTGCCAGATCTAACCCTACAGTTGCCTATAAAGAAAATAAATGCAGTGGCTCTTTGCTAATATAGTCATAATTATTTCATATTAGTGGATATAATTACTAAGCATACTTTGGGAAATGGTAACCTGACTTGATACTGTATTTCTGCAAAGTAAAATGCAGCACAGAGCTTATGAATTGAGTGATTATTCCTGATTCATCATTTTCCTATTCCCAACTTACTCCCAGGCCTTCCTCCTTGGGTTGGGTGGGCCATGCCGGCAGTGAGGACCCATTAGTTTTGCTCTGAGCATTGGCCAAGGACCGTCACCCTTGCTGCAGGTTGCACGTTCCTCCCGTGCACTCTTCAAGGGTGAGCATGCGCCTTCCAGAGCTTCCCAAAACTGACAGCCCACAGGCCAGGGCCAGACTGCAACAGCCCATCCCTGGGATAGCAGGTAGCCCCTCAGCTTTGTGTTTCACTGGTTTCATTCCTGGTTTTAATCCAATTTTCATTCCTGAGCGCGCTGGCTGGCCAAACAGGTGAGTGGGGTTGGAGTCTCTCATGTCCCAGCCTGACAGTGCCTGCAGAGCAGCAAGGCATTAATCCGCGGTGCTGTGCAGCCCCTTTGCATCACCTCATGCCATCCCAGCACTGCCTCAGGACAAGGAATGCCAAGGGCATTTGGTGGAAAAAAAAGAAAAAAAAAAAAAAAGGCTGTTTGTAGGAGATTATTGCAACATTATTGATCAGAAAAAGCAGAAAGAACATCTCTTCCATCTGTACACGCCGCTCCGCCCCTCCAGCTTTTCATCACTTCACACAGTGGCAAGGATAATTTGTTAAAAATACTACAGTGAGAGAGCCGCAGGCCCAGCCTGGAGCGCTGGCCTCCCCTGGTCCCCGGCAGGGAAGGACTGCCAGGCGGACGCTCCTCTCCAGGGCAGGCACCGCGGGGCCACGGCGCTCGTTGCTGCTCCGCTCGTTGCATTGCCAGTAGTACTTGTTTTTTGTTTTCGTAGTCCTTCCCACCCTCTCCCTTATGTCCACTGTGGTTCCTGCTTTTTATACTACATGAACTGGAGCTCTCAACCTGCCAGGGCTGAAATGTGGGACAGATTCAACAAGAATAATAGATTTTCCGGGAGCTTACAATGATAGTATGAGATTAATTCATTTCATATGAGTAACATTTTCTCTTCTGTTCAGTTTCATGATTCAGCCTTCCACAGGAGTGACTGGGAGGGGTTACTAGAAAACAAGAAAAGCATCTGGATAGCAGGAGTTTGCGGTGATGAGATGGGAATGAGGAGGGCAGTGCAGATCAAGGGCCCTCGGCGGGAGAGCAGGAGGCCGATCTGTCCATCTTTCAGTCTCCTGGCCCTGTCGCGCCTTGTGTCGCTCTGACAGTGCCAGCTGAAATTCCTGGTGCTGGGGCTCAAAGACCCGGCAGTTCCCATTTAACGTTTATTGCCATTTCTGACCCGCTCTCTCTGGGCTGCCGAAAAAAAAGTTATGCAGCACTATTTCCCTAATAAATCTGCTGCCAACCAGCCTGAGAAAGACAAGACCTGCAAACAGCTTTCCAGCAACAGATTGCTGCACGCTCGGCCATCCAGCAAGCTGCTGGCAACCCTGCGTTTATATAGGAAACCAGATCCGCAGATACCTCTCCTGGGATATGCATAAGGAATACTCCCCTATGAGTAACCTAATCAGCATGTAGATGTCATTGCTGTTTACACAACTGTACTGAGCAAAAGACATTTGTCTGGCTTTCACTGCACTCTGAAAGAAAATGATCAGCTTAGAAGGGCTGGGGTGGATTTAAAATAACTTCTTAAGCACTTGTCAAAAATCTGCATCCCCTTTCCTAACACTCCATCAAGCAATTGACCTCCACACTCCGGTAAAGCAGTACATTGTATCAGTGTAAACTCCCTGTCACAATTCTATCACATAAGGATGTGAAATCACAACGCTGCCTTATAGCGTCTAAAACCGACCCGGCGATCTGAACTTGCAGTCCCGTTCCTCCGTAGCTGTGAGGCTCTAGCATCCGCTTCTCTAGCACACTTTTAGCAGAAATACGGGAAGCTCCTGGAAGGAAGTCATTCTAAAGCTATTTGTGAGTTTGCCAAAAGGATTTCTTTGATTTACGAAGTATGAAAGATTGCCATTTCTGAATTCATAGTGGATGAGTTATTTCCCGTGTTTTGCTCAAAGGAAGTTCATAATGCGATGAATTCTAGTGTGAAAAAGAGAATTAAGGAATAACCTTTTCACAACTGCTGCTTCTGCAGTTTTTGCAGCCGTAACATGTGTCTCGTTTCTCCACGCCGGCTGGGTTGTCGGATCGTTGGAAATTCTCGGAAGCCCGGCTAGTCTGGTGAGAAGCATAGGGAACGGCATAGCCGATTTCTTTAGGCTCCCCTATGAAGGGCTGACCAGAGGCCCAGGAGCATTTGTCAGTGGAGTTTCCAGAGGAACAACATCATTTGTAAAACACATTTCCAAAGGTAGATCTCTCACTTTGTTGCTCCAACTACTGCTTTGTTGTCATGCATTGTTAAAGGATGTGTTAAAGTTTTAAACAATATTGCTTGCAGCTTTGTTTGGCTTGCGAGGCTGCAGCGAAATGCTGGGAGGGTAACAAAGCTCATATATAACATCTTATGTATTAAACAGATCACCGCTTAACTACAGTGTGTAAGAATGTTTCAGAAACTTCAGAATTTTAAACCTCCCAGTGGGAAACGGAGATTGGCTCAGCCAGTATTTCATGTGATAACTGCAGAAATGTTAAAGGTGTTCTGTACTTCTGCTAACCATCAGAAATTCTACACTGTGTCGCCTCATCATATTTATTATTTCTTTTTTTCAAAAAAAAAAAAAAAGTAGATACAGTTGTCATAACTGTGTAAGTACATGGATAGGTTTTGACAGCAGGGCTGGGCTGGCCTGAGAACAGGAGCAGCTTTTGTTTTGCGAAGTCTGTATAAACAGTGCCATCGCGTGGCTTCAGCCGCCCGGGAGAGACCACGGCGTGGCTGCCCCAGCCGCTCGCTGCTGCTCCGGGCTCCCTCAGGACACCTCCTCCCGGGCTCCTTCTGTAAATAGTTGTTTACCTTTCCATCAGACACCCAGCCCCCTCCCCGTTTAGGTTAGCCTGACAGAAGTTTGGGAACTGGGGAGGGATGTTCGGATGAGTTGCTGTTCCCACCAGCCAGGGAAACCTGGTGCAGGCTAACGCAAAAGGCGTGACGTGGACCGTAGCAGCAGTGTGGTGATGCTTAACAAATAGTAAAGCATGTTACACATGGGCAACTTTTCAATTGACTTGCTGTTCTGCTCATAAGCTCGGTATGTCAGTGAGGCATAGAACATCTCCGTGTTTTAAATTAAAGCATTTTGATCCAGACCCAAATGTAGATCTCCATGTATTTAGGTACACTGACGTCAATTACCAATCTGGCAACAAGTCTTGCTCGGAATATGGATAGGCTGTCACTGGATGAGGAGCATTACAACAGACAAGAAGAATGGAGAAGGCAGCTTCCAGAGAGCCTGGGAGAAGGACTGAGACAGGGGCTCTCTCGTTTAGGCATTAGCCTTCTAGGTAATGTACTATTAAATATCAAGTTGAGTGATAATACTGTTTTCTGATCTGCTCACCAAACTTTTCTACATGTGGCTTATAATTGCAAAATCTGTTTGTTTGGGGGGGAGGGGGTGGTGAAATAGCCTCACAGTATGTATGAGGTAGTTTCTTTTCATCAAGGTTTAGTGACTTTTGTATATGTGTTTTGCTGATAACATAATTGCAGATATAGAACACGTTTGCACTCTCTTTGTGAAATAATATTTTTGTTGGTACATGATGCATGGCTGAGAGGAAAAGAATAATTCTGCATTGGGCAAGGTGACTTGTAACTAAGTCAGCACAAAGACGTCATCACGCTGATGTTTACTTTCCAATGAGTTATAGGAATGCCTTCCTAACCTGCTTGGTTTTGCTGCACTGTAGATATCGGGGATTCTTGGTTTTGTTTGAAAACCACTTGAACTTAGTGCAGATGTTAAGTAAGCTTTGATGAGGAATTCTGCTTTTACAAAGAGACCCAGATCATCCTGATTCAGTGTAATTGTATTCGTCAAGCAGCCAAGTGGTTTGGTTAGAAATGAAGATTACCCTGGCCACTTCAAAATAGTACCTAAAAATCTGAGAGCTAACCCGCACCGGAAAAAAAAATCTCTGCGAGAAGTTTTGCAGTAAGGGGCTGGATTTTCTGGGTTACTTCTACTTGTCACACAGCAAAGGAATGCAGAACTGTATTGTTTGGCAGAGTTCCTCAGTATGTATTAAAGAGTATGAATCCCTTAGAGATCAAAGTGACCAAAAGCAGTCCAGTGCAAAAGGTTAGAAGAGCTGAAGCTTGAAAGGATTTGTCTTCTTTCCTAATCTTCAGTAGTGTACACAACTCCTAAATTTGCAACCGCAACCCTGAAAGCCCCAAAGAGGAAGTGGTAAAAAAGTTACAAGTTTGGGTTAAGTTACTGGAAATTATTTTAAGCAATAACATTAGATGATGTGAAGCACTGTCATTTGATAATGCCTGTAAACCGGCAAGCGAGTGTCCTGGGAGAAATGTGCATAAAGGAAAAATTTCATATTAGTAGCTACTATCCGAATAGTAAGCTGTTACTGGTGTTGCAAATCAAAGGCAGTTCGGAGAAGGTTTTATTTTTCCTTCTTGTTTTATTGGGCTAAGGGCAGTCAGGTTGAGTAGCTGGATGAAAGATTATACTTTTAGAAGCACTGTGTCAGCTTGGTGTATGTGTGCTGGTGAAATGGTTTGGTGATCTTGGCTCAGTTATTAATAAGACAGCGAGATAATGGCGTGGCTATCCCCTTCGCTGACACACCACAGCCCGTCAGAGCTAAAAGCATCAGCCATACAGCCTGAAGTAAAGAGCAAAACTTTGTAGCTTTGGCTGTAACAAGGCAAAGTTTCGGCTGTTCAGGAAAGTAGGGAACTCCTAACATGCATGCACAAATACGCTGTGCCTGTACCTCCCTGCGCACAAGGCTTCAGTTGTTTGCGGGAGTACGCCCGAGTTAAAAACAAAACCAAAAAAAAGAGAATTTCAGTGTCCTGGATTTCCTAAGAAATCAGACTTCATGTTAGAAACTTAGAGCTTCATACCAGCATTTAAACAGTGCTCCTCCACAAGCTAGGATCTTGTTCTTGCTCCCGCTGTTATTATTTAGAGATACCTCCCTGCTAAATACCTCTGTTCTTAGGAGTGGAGGCAAGGAAGCACCCAGATAAATAGCTACGGTTACTGTGTAGCTGGACTTGACAAGTATGGGACCTCTCACTAAGGGAGGAATCAGAAATATTCCACTGAATTTGTATCAGGCATGATTTTTTTTTATTTAAACCTGATTTTTAGAAAGCATGTTTTCTCTGTATACACAGCAGCATTCACGTAAATTGTGTTGAGACCTAAATCATGAATAGACCTACATTTCAATTTGAACAAACATGTCAGAAAGCTGTTTCTGTCCTGACCGTTTAGTTTAAGGAATATTGTGTCTTCCCAAAAAAACCCAGTCGTAGTTGAAGGGGAGGTATCACCGTGCTGCTTTCTTTCACCAGCATGTTCAGAGTAAACATGAACATGCTTACTCTAAATGCACTTCCAGGTTCTTCATACGTAAAGAAGCGAAGCAGAGCTGCTATGTTATTTTCCTTCACAAGGATGAAGAGTTCAGATGAGCACAGGAATGCAGAGAGCAAGACCCTTTGAAGCCATAATTTTTATGACTTTGTAATTGTAAAGTTGAGAAGTGTGAAAAAGATTTCTAGGATAGTCACAGTACCATCATGTTTGTAAAAGCCATCTGACTCATGCAAGCAGCTTAAAGGATTGCAAATGCAGATTTCGTGCCTAGGCAAAGGTATGTAAGAGCCCTCAGTTCAACGATACATTGTGGTATCTACGCAGAAAGAAGAGTTGCATTTCTGATTTTTCTGAAAATCTGGCTCATGGTGGCCCTGATTCAGCAAAGCACTTAAGCATGTGCTTAAGAGCTTTGCTGAATCAGGGCCAAAATCATGTACTCTTGTCTCCTCCTCAGTGCAAGTTGTTCCCTGTGGTACATTCTTAAGTGCTTTGTCCTGTCTCGTTTTAAATGACTCAAGCACTGTCAGGGTGTTGTTTGATTTGATTGTTATCTTTGGCGGGCTGTTGTCTTTTCTAGTTGGGGGAGACTTCTGGGTCATTTTTGTAACATTTGTGCTTGAAAAGAAGCAAAAGCTTATGATAGGTGTGTTTTTTCTTCTGTATGATTAGACAAAAATGCAGTGAAATTGTATCTAAAATATTTAGATGATCGGCACTCCCCACCAAGGAACTATCTTTTGCATTTTGCATGATGGGGTCAGGCTTAAAATAATAATTTATAACTGTGTAAAAGAGAACATTGAAACTATAGGTTTTATTTTCAACTATTGGTTCTAGTGAAAAATATTGTATTGAAGTAGCTCCCTTTGGGAAGTTGAGCATGTCTGAATAACTGAAAAGCTGACAACTATTAGAAAAGCCATTTTTTACAATGGCAAAAGTGCTCGATGTTTCAGTACTCCTTCTGGCTTTTCGGGAAAGTGAGTTGATAGTAATACTGACAGTGTAACTGCTGCTAGAGAAGGTACAGCCTGGATTTCTGCCGTATGTTTGGTGTGAAACACTTGGAGCAATCCTGAAGGACAACACAGAAAAGAAAAGGAAGCAAAATGGTTGCAGCTTGGTTAGCTTCCAGCCTCAGGGCAAAGCTTGGCCAGTTTCTCCTGGTGGGAGATTTTTTCCGATTATTTCTTGGTCTGAAAGAGTTTGTCACAAGCAACCTGAGCTTTGCTAAGTTCTGTAAGCCATGCTACGTTCATCAAACATCGTCAGTCGGTGCAGGATCCAGTTGCTGCCCGTAATCAAATTCTTCTTGAAGCAATACAGTGATATACTCTGAACTATCTGAATTTTGTAGTTATCAAAGTATCTTTTTTATGGTTACTGAGCAACATGTATTAACCAGAGTGCACCCCAGCTGATGTTTAGCAGATGTTATGATGTTGTTGGAACCTCTCTGGTCCAGTAATGGAAGAATATGTTTTTGTTTTGTTGCTTTGGTGTTTAATTTTATTGAGGTTTTCTTTATACATGCATAATCTGTGTGTACATATGTGGACATGCATATAAAATTGAATGCCTAGGGTAAGGAAGGAAAGAAAAATGGAGAATGGTTTCATTTAAAAAAAAAAAAAAACAATAACGGGCAAGGGACATTACAGAGAAGGGACAGGACAGGGACAGCAGTAGGACACCATAGCTGTCTATAGACTGTGAGAACGAGAGTGGGAAGGGAGGCACTGCTATATGTGGTTCCATGCTCTGCTTCCCTGATACCCTGCTGAGACCTGGAGGGAGAGACCTTCCGTGGTAAGTCCATCCGGCATGGTGCCTCTACCACTAACTTCATGTTAGAAAGAAAGAAGCCACATGGACACCAGGGGACATCTGCTTCGCACAGTTTCTGGTGCTAGGGGATGCAATGAACCTTACGTGTGTGTCACCATTATCTCACTGCTGTTGGGGTTTGAGGTTGCTCAGCCTTTGACCTTTTTTTTTTTTTTTTTTCCTTTGCCCACACATGATGCACACAGGAAAGGAGCTGCACAGATCTGGCTTGCCCATGCAAGGGTGGTAGGACCAGCCACTCCTTAATGAAAGGAGTGAGGTTATAGTTTATGTGATTTGTGGGCATGACCACAGCACGTGAATGAGTTATGTCAGTGAGTTGCAATTTGAGATAAGAGATTACAAAGGGTGAGCAGAGAGGGAAGAGAAGATCATTGGTTATGTTTTTTGCAGGTAGAAAGACAGGACTTTTAAAAGGATTTGAGGTACAAAAGTGCAATCGCTTCCCAGACAAGTTCAGAGCATGCATAAAATGGCAGAATAACAGAAAGTGTGGAAGTACTAAACAACTGGCTAATTAAACTATATATTATTTGGGGTACTATATAAATAATCTTACATAACATAGTCACAGCAGTTTCCATTCTGTTTCCCTGTCCTCTGGGCCTAATTCCAACTGAGAAGTGCCTGGAGCATACCACAGGTCCTTTGGAGTAGGCTCTTATTTATTATTACCTTATAACATTGCTCAAGTGTATTGCAGTAAATAATTTACTAGTGCTAGGACTTAGGTGGATTACATTTAATAAGGCAATAACTTCTGTTCTGAAAGTGCATTTGCTGTGGATGACCTCGATAGATAGGGTGAAGGAGGTCACGGGGTAACATAATAGTGTAACTTAGCAGAACACCAAGTATTGTTTTATGCCTTCAAATGCATCACAATTGTACAAAAGAAAAGACTGGACGAACAATCCCAATTGTGTAATGCGGTGTTGGGGTATTATTTTAGTCAAGCAGCAGGAGCAGCTGGTAAGTACTAATGAAACAGAATTCAATTGAAAATTGTATCATTTCCATGGCGTGGCATTAAGGAAGCTTCATGGCCTTTGTGTACAAAGGTTGAACGTTCAGCTGCACGCTCAGTTTCAGTGACAGAGCTCAATAAAAACTGGGTATCGCATTAAAAATACACCAGCATTTTCTGGGAAAATACTGTACAGTTATCAGTAAAGGATACACGTATAGAAGTTGGAAGCAATCTCTCTGAGAGGAGAGGGAGGCATTTATAGGAGATGCAAGTTTCCTGAATTGCTGATAGATAGTATCCCAGGGACAAGAATCTGGGGAAATGTGTGCTGCTTCTCATCCTTGTCTTTTCTTTGGACAGAATACCACGTACAAGTACAATATTAGTTCTTGTTGTTCAAAGTTAGCAACTTCTCTGTTTATCCAGTAACGGTAACTAAAACCATCTGAAAACCAGTTAGCGGCTAGCTGACTAGTGCATGTCACGCTGGTAAACACATGGGGCCAAATACCTCAGCTGTGATTGTCCGAATCTGTGGAATTACGCCTGGATTTGCTTCCACACACAAAGCAGAATCTTCAAAGATGTCTGGGTCGCAGTAAAAATGCCTGGTTACCAAGGTGACACTCGGTCCTACTCCTTCAATAACTGTTTTATCTTGGTGTTTGCTGCTGAAGGTGCAAACTGAGAGCTAGCCGAGGAGCCTGCAAACTTGCTTTTCACTGAGCTAAGAACCTCGGATCAGGCAGACTGTTTTCTAACTGATGTCACTTTGTCCAATCCTTGTACTCTTGGTGTTTTCCAAATAGCTTATCTATCAAAATTACAATAACTAGAGACATGTCTGTGGTTAAGTGGCTAGAGTAAACTCCAGATCAAAGAAATGTACCACCTCACATACCTGTTTACATTTAGGAAGATTTAAGTCGGAGTTCTCTGTTGATACTAAAAGCTGGGAAGGTCACTGTGTCACTTGTAAAAGTTTGACCCATGCGCATTAAAGTAAAATATGATCGTTTTCACAAAAAAAGTAACAAAAAGTCTCAAAGTCTAATTCTGCTAATCTTAGTAATATATCAAAAGTTGCATTAGCTTATGGACATTTCTGGCAGTGGAAGAGGATATAAAAATGATCTATTGAATACAGGCAGTTTTTATTCTCATGAAGTCAATCTCAGGCTTACATGAAAATCTCATTTCCATAACAGCTCAAGTCTTCTAAAACGGGTAGATTTTATTCCGAGCCCAGCATTTTCAGAGTTGCTACACAGAATGAGCTAAGTTAAACGAACTCAGCAAAAGCATTTAGTGAAAGTAGTTGAACGATGAAAACATGCTGTCAAGTTAAGTGATCTGAATGTTTAAAAAAGCAAAATACATTTACAAAAAAAAAAAGGAAGTTGAGATTTAACTTAAACTGAAGCTAAGGTATTGTTTAGCTAATTGGTCACATGCTAAATAGCTGTATAAGAAGGGTGGGGGACAGTCTGTAATCCAAGCAACATTCAGGTCCAGTAGTAAGATTTCCTCTTATTCTGGGATATTAATCTTCACTAATTACTGGGGACTCTTGTTTTTTCAGGTGCAATTGCTGGGATCGTGGATCAGCCGATGCAGAATTTTCAGCGAGTGTCTGAGGCCCAAGCTTCAGCTGGGCACAAAGCCAGAGGGGTCATCTCGGGTGTGGGGAAAGGAATCATGGGCGTCTTCACGAAGCCCATCGGAGGGGCAGCTGAGCTTGTCTCCCAAACAGGTTACGGTGAGTTTCTCTATTTCCAACATCTCCATTTAAATTTTAAAATGCTCTTCAGATAGTCTGCTGTATCTTACTTATTCAGCTCAGTAGCCGTGTGACTTACAGCAAGATTTAGAAATGCCACTGCTGAATAGTTATAAATGTTGTGCTGGTTTTCTTAAAAGCCATCATGTTGTGCTTCTCTCTTGAGTTACCGATCAGCGCTCTACAGCCACAGAAACACAGAGTGCAGAAAGCATGAAGTAATCCTTGGAATACAGTAGAATTAGTTACAGAAACATATGTGCTTACAAAAGAGTTTTTGACATAAAAGTATTAGAGCAACACTATACGCAATTAGAGCGTTATTTTGAGATTGCTTTGCTACGGCAAGGAAAGAGTTGTAGTGTCTCTGCGCAGAGAGAGACTTACGTTCCTGAGAGAAAGAAGTGAGTTGTGTAGTAGGAGCATCCCTTTAAACTGGAGAGTTGTGAGAAGACAGTCCCATTTTTGGATACGCAGGTAACCTTTTAACGACCAGAGGTGGGTTTTCCACCTACAGTGAGCACTTAGTGGCAGTGGTGGTGAATCCTTTCAGATTGATGTGAATACTTCTGGATGACCCAAAACTGTAAAAGATAAAAATAAAATATCAAAATACACTAATTTCTTTGCTTCCAGTATCAATAAATCAAAACTGTTGGTCTGGATATTTAAAGAAGGGGCAGGAAGGCAGTCGGGGAAAAAAAGCAGGGAGACCTGTTGATACAAGGACAACGTGTCAATAATTTTGCTTCATTAATTACACTGGACAAACCTTGAAGATCTAAGCCTTTAATCGCTGGCAATATTTATGTTTGTGATGTGTTGATTAGAATACGAGTAGTTCTCCTAGGGCTTAAGTTTAGGATATTGTTTCCACGCTTCCCATGACATTCAGAACTCATTCCTTGAAGCAATCTATTTAAAGAAATAATGAACCGTTTAATTATTACAATTCTTTCAATTTAATGTTATCTTGTTTGTATGAGTGTAAATAATAACCGCTCTCCTGAATTATGCATCCCATAGTGTAAAACCCGTATCGGTAAAATCGGAAACTTCTGTCTGTTGTCGGCTGGCTGTGTGTTGTTTTTGTTGCCCATGGCATTATTCTTTCTAGATTTAATTCCACTGCAGTCTTTATCAAGAAACTTGTAACAGTAGAGGGACACTTTTCATTGCAGATATGGTATACAAGACATCATGTTTTCCACGAGCATGTGACAAAAAGAGTTAGCCAGGAAAAAACATAAAAACTGTATCAATAATAGCTGACAGTGCGTGAGAGGAAAACACACAAGAGTTCAAGTAACTCTTACCCACAACTGGATTGGAAGTGGGACCGTGCCTCTTGGGGGGGACCGAGGGGTGGGGGACCACACAGAAATAAACACATGTTCTCTCTTTCTCCATCTGTAAATAACATTTTCACTCACATAATGCTGAGAACCTCGGTAAGCCAACTGTTACAACTGGGATGCTGCTTTTAAGCATTACCATCAACATGTGTGCTAAAAATTAAAGGGTTTTTTTCAGTGCTGATGTTTTGTTTAAATTATTATCCATTGTGTAAAAAGGAATCTAAGTTATTGACACCCTTATGCAAAAATGCCTTTTGCTTCAATGGAATGCTTAATTAGACAAAAGAAAATGTCTTTGTTTATTTGAAGGGTAACTTTGCACTAAACCGTATAACCCTAGTGCTTGCTGTTTAACCTACTTCCTGTCTGTCTTGTAAAAATTTTTAAAACTACTTAATTTGTGAATTTTTTTGCAACCTACTCATTCTTTCTGGTGACCATACCTCATCTTTAAAAGTTTACAAGCCATCTGAAAGCATACATACTGTATCATCTTTAGCTTTGGATAGTCTATTTAGAAACCTGTTTAACTGCTTCTTGTAGTCTTCATTCTGTGCAGGCACTAAGAATAATTCACAATAAACCAGGTGCCCCGGGAGATCTCATAAATATATATGGATCTGTGTTTAACAGCTGGATTAAGTAACTGAACATTTGAATACAGTATCTAGGCAAACTTGCCTTTTAATTTGTACCGATCGTGACACGTATAGGGAAGTATTTTGATAGTAAGCAAGAAAGTTAACAACTGTCTTGATTTTTTCTACATAAATCCTAAGTGATGCGTCCAATCCTACTCTGAAACGGAGGTTCTCAGGAGCATTATGTTTCTCATGATTGCAAGTGTATGGCTGAACACACAGTGGGGTGTTTTTTGTTTCTTGCTAATGCAAGATCACTGGGGTTAAGCGCAACAACTCTTGCATTGTAATATTTAGTGAATTATCTTGACTACAGCTTCCAAAGATGTGACATCATTTTGGATCTGCACTATTTTATGAACTGCTCTAAACAGATGACATCACTGCAACATGTAACTGTTATGTAGAAAACAACTACTAAAAAACTTGAATTCTCTTACCACAGGTATTTTGCATGGAGCTGGACTTTCTCAGCTTCCCAAGCAGCGCTCTCGTCCAAATGATCAACATGTTGAGCAGGGTCCAAACAGCCACGTCAAATATGTCTGGTAAAATTATTTAGACACTTGCTCATTTTTACATCCACATTGTTTATTAATAGGTTCTGGCCTGTGCTCAAGTTAACAGGCTGCTTCCCTAGGAAAGGCTGAGTTATGGCAGTTTGTTTAGGAACATTAAACACAAAGGTAGTGCATAGAAACCCAATCTGCAAATGATGGGCTGCTGATCTGCTTCCAGCTTTGGAACTACAGAGCTGATCTTTATTTAATGGCATTCAGTGAGTTCTTACTTATTTCTCATTGCACTGAGCCCAAGAAAAATACTGCACATCTCCAGAAACAGCTGTTGGTGAAGATAGTGTTATTTTCTGCACTGAATTTGTAAGCCACTTCTCAGGGTAATTTTTCTATTAGGATGGGAAATAGGCTGACCTAGCACTGTTATTAGGCCAATTTTGCAGTGAATTATTAAGGAGATTTGATAAATAACAGTTTCACATTTATTCTCTAGATCTTAAGTCTTACATCTTTCAGTAATGGAGATTTGGAATGTGCTCCCTGGCTTATTTTGTATTTGTAGGTGATAGCTACAGGCTTAAGTAAAAACATTAGTGATCATAAGTAGTCCTGGAGGATCCAGTGCATAACACTGACTCCTTCTTTTTTTCTTCTTCTTCTTTTTTCTTCTCTCCCCCCGCTACCTTGGTAATGCAGGAAAATGCTGCAATCTCTAGGAAGGCCGGAGGTCCATATGGCCTTAGATGTCATGATTGTGAGTGGATCAGGCCAGCAGCATGAAGGCTGCTTGCTGCTCACCTCAGAGGTGCTCTTTGTGGTCAGCATCAGTGAAGACACGCAGCAGCAGGCATTCCCCGTGACTGAAATCGATTGTCTGGAAGATGATCAGCAAAAAGACCTGCTGAAGGTGCAGCTAAAACAACAGAGAGTGCCTTCTGATTTGGAGGTAAAGACTTGAGTACGATTTTCATTCAAAGATAAAGTTACGCTGATGATAATGCTTCTGGCAACGGGCATACTCGCCTTTGGGTTGGGAGGCCAGAGGTCTAAGTGCCAAGGGGACCTGCTGTTTTCATGCACCTCATAGTTGACTGTTTTGCACTTTGGATGAAAGGGACGTGTCTCTTCCCTTCTGTCCTCTTATTGATTATGACGTTTCATATCTGTGACAGCAATTTTCTGAGGCAGAAAAAGTAGAGGAAGTCTGGGTTCTTGGTAAGTGCCACCTCTTTTCTGAGGAGGTTCTCATGACTACATGGGCATGAGGTGTTTATTGTTTGGCAGGTCAGCATTGCTGCCTGTGCCTGCAAAGTCACAGTGAGAACAGTTCCTTTTATTCTTCTGTGAATTCTGTTTTAACAGTTCAGTGGTGCTGGTGCATGCTCCTTTCAGCATGTTTCTTATCTTGCCGCTTCCAATGCGGTGGTCTTTCTTGGCTGCTAGCTGTATTTACTTCCTTAGATATTCCTTCTTCTGCAAATGCTGCCTTTAAAATGGATCAGTTCTGTTGCTGAGATTGGATGCACCAAGTGTTTGCCAGTAAGAGCATAAATCCTTCATCTTCATATTGAAAGATCTCTAAGCCATTTGAATACTGAGGTTTTGGATGAATTATCTTCTTTTAATGGTAGAAGAATGTTATATTTTTACACTTTCGGGAAACAATGTTTATTGTATTAAATTCTCAAGTGGAATCATATGAGAGATCATTTCAAAAACAAACATGCATGTCCCAGTTGTTTTTATAAAAGTGTGTCAGGTAGTTCATAGACTGCTATACCAGAAATTTCTCTGTTTCAAATACATGAAAAAACCATATGTAAAACCCCATGAAGTATGAGGTGTGCCAAAAAGTAGGGGAGCCTTCAGCACCTTCAGTAAAACCCTAACTTTGCTGAAGTCACTGCAGAGTTTTGCCATCAATTCCAGCACAGCAAGGACTTCATCTGTGTCATGACAGCACTTGGATTTTTTTGTGAACGCTTTTTTTAGTGCTGAATTCTCTATTTACATTTATTGTCTTTCCACTAACCTCAGTCTCACAGAGTACTGTTGACTGAAGTTGCCTTCTCTCACCACAAAGCTACATGAGGCATTACTTACTTTTTGATGGAAGTGGGCAAAGCTCAGCTTTTTTATCCCCGAGTGCTGTGTGGTTGCTGGAGGCACACATCAGACTGAATCCAGACTATCCTGCTCAGTCCAGAGCTACTGTCCTGGAGGGGAGAGGAAGGTAATTTGTTCTCCCTAAGGCATTTGATGCACTCAACCCATCCTAACCCTAACTTTAGCACCAACCCGGATCTTTTTTTTTTTTTCTTTCTTTTTTTTTTTTTTTTTTTTAGGTTGGGGTTTTATGGCTTTTTTTTTTTTTTTAGGCTGTAGTGTGATGGCTCTTGTCTTTGTATCTGGTTATCCAAGGGGTGAGGAGTAGGCTGTGGCTCTGGGGGAAGGGCTGCTTGCCCAAAGGTTGCTGCAAGAGGGTGATGAGGCAGAGGGGCTGCTGGGAAAAGGGAAGGCAAAGGACAGGGAGCCTAATTCTAGTCCCCACAGCTGCTGCAGTTGGGAACGCGTAGGACTTCTGGGCAAGTGGCTCCTGTACATGCCCAGCCCAACACTACATGGCATGTGCAGAGTCCAGCGTTCCCATGTACACATGTTACTACACTCAGTAAATGAGACCTGCTTTGGAGGTGCTGGACCAAATACATGTTTTTTTCTGACGTTCTGGACAGAAATATGGGAGTCCTACTCCAGTGGCGTAGCAATGCCAGGAGCTGTAAGCCTTGAGCCACCCGGCCTCAGTACGCCATCTCTTTTGCTGATGCAGGCTCTTGAGAACGCAGTGAAAATGTATGGCATGATAAAAGCGGTGAAAAGTGCCTGTGCCCCAGGTGGAGCAAAGTCAGTGGTGGCAAGACAGCAAAAGCTGAGTGATGCTGTACAAAACAGACCTGGCAAAATATTCCTTCAGAATGCAGATGCTGATGCTGAACTTTGTGTGAAGATTTAAAGAAATGTGCTATAAGGAGGAGCAGTTGAAAGTAAGGTAGACAAGAATACAGAAGTTGAAAATTTTTTATGCTCAGGCAGCTACACAATAAAAGATTCCAAAAGCTTCATAAAGTTTCAGTAATTACCTGGAGTTAAGTAATATTCTTTTGTAATTAATGTTTATGATAGTTTTTTGCCGTAGTGGATTGGGAAATTTCATACTTAGTAATTTCCTTTCTGCAGCTGAGCATGTCAGTTCTGTGGTGCTTGGGGCGTTGTGTGCAGCGCTGGTGCTGGTGGGAGCCAAGGGCCTCCCCATCAGCTCCCGAACAAGAGCTTCTAAAAACTCTTTGAATGTGATTAGGAAAAGGAACCTTAGGAGCAGCAAGCCGTGACTTGCAGGTGAGCAGCCTCAGAGCCGCAGACCTACACCTAAATAGACACAACTCCTAAATATTAATGGTAGGCCATCTCATTGCACTGAAGATGTCCTCAGCTGAAGTGCAGACACGTCTGTACATGATGACATTAGTAAAGATGGCCAGAATTTTTAGCTGCAAAAAATGCCCCATCAGGCCAACCAAAATATTATGGTGAGTTTAGCAAAATAGAGGTAATGTTACCAAATGTAAATTATGTCTATTTTTCTGATTAATTTAGTCAAAGATCCTAGAAATAATACAACAAATTGAAACATTTCATTTCAATGTTATAAAAATCCACTTTTTTGTCTTATTGCTCACAAACGTAATTGCCAAAAGTTTTGTTTCAGCTCTGCCCAAAACAGTTTCTCCCTTCCCTCTCCTCAGCTTCTTGGAACTATTAGGAAACAAAACATGAGTTATTCTACAGCTGTAATCACCAGAGATGTTATAGAGCATACTTTGACTCCTTCAGCAATAGGTTTGCCTGATGGCTTGTTCGCCTCCACAATATATAACTTAATCCATCTGGCTAGAAATAGCCTGGATGGATTCTTGAAAACTCTGGCACTGACAACAGTGTTATTGAAAGGGAAGCATTAATTGTACTTGGATTATCTTCCAAACTAATTGAGACACTGCTTGCTTCCAGACAGACGTCAAACTCAAAAGGCCTGCTCTTCCAGCTGCTCTTGGTATAGCTCATAATGTCAAGAAGAAAGCACAAAATTGAAGTGCCCTGCAATCTCACATATTCCAGAATTTCTTTGTGATGATCTCCAACACGGTTTTCATGATAGTGCTGCATGTTACCATCTCTGGAGCTGAAAACCAGTCTTTGGATTTTTCAAAGCAGTTAAAAAAAACCCTGAAGAGCCATATCTCCTTAGTCAGTGTGCACAAAGCAGCCTATCAGTGCTACATACACATCTGGACTGCACAACAAAGGTGCTGTAGCTACTGTAAAGTTAGAATTGCTGAAGGCTTATTGTTTATAAGCCGTAATGAGAGGAACTTTAGAAAAATTCTGGAGTTCTTAACCCAAAAGTATGGCCTTCTAGCATGGAAGGACATGTTATCTTTAAGATTCCTCTAGCAGGTGCATTAAGCAACCCTTGAGTAAGTTTTGATTCATTGAATGGTCTGGCTATTATGATTATACTTGTTCAAAGTAGTAGGCTAAGGCACTTAGCGACAACGTTAAGTCCCATTTAGGAAAAAACAGAATAACAGCAATTCCAAGTTTCTGGCTTTGTCTCGACAATATAAGCTAAACTGAAACGGGCTGGAGAAGCAGATGGTTGCAGATGAAGTCATCTGGAAGCAAGTAGGGTCCCAGTTACTTTGGAAGACCATCCAAGTGCAGTTAATATTTCCTCCTGAATAATTATGCCGTCTGTATCTGTGGGATATAGCCTGGGGCTGAATGAAGAATGGGTTCACAAGAGTAGGTGAGTGGGATGCCAGCACCCTTTCCATCTCCTCTGATAACTCGGGTCTTTTGGTCAGAACTATAATCCAGCTTCCCCTGGGCTTATCTCCCTAGAAGTGGAAATCAGGAAAAAAAGTGGAGCCACCTACATGCAAGATTTACCCCATAACTTAAAATCTAGTTTACATAGGTGGTACTTTAGTGTATTTCTCTCCTTTTAACTGGCAAAACAGGCTGACTGCTGAGATACTTTTTCTGTGCCACCAGACTGAAGACGTGGTTCAGACACCATTCTCTACTGTTAGCCGTGAGTCTGCTGCAGCAGTCTGCCTTCTGATTTTTCCCTCCCTTTAAGGTCATTTGTGGAAACTACACTCTCCTCTGCCCATTTCGTCATTTCCGCTGTTTCTAGGCATAGGCTCCAACCTTGAGCTTCTGAGCTTGTTCATGAGCCTGCTTCCTTTAGCATTTTTGTGGTGGTGATTGAAAACAGGAGTGTTTCTACTTGCTGAGCAGCAAATCCATCTCCAAAGGCATAGTAAAAAAAACAGAAGGGACTGTTTTGATTTGGATGTGACATCTGTCACTATCAATCTTACTAATTCTTTCTTCAAATAAGCAACGGTTTGTTTAAAATGAGCCTTGCAGTCCAGAGATGTGACAAGATATTGATCGTGGATGTTAAATTGACTCCAATGGCACTGTTCGAAAAGCTCATCGCATCTAGTGAGGCATGTGTAAAACTCCCTGAAGGACAGCCAGAAGATAGCATTCTTTGAATCCTTAGCATGACATCCAACAAAGGCATTTTAAACCCTACAAAAATGAAACTGGTCAGCAGTTCTCCAAGTGTAAATAAGGAAGCATCAAAGCCTACCCCTAGGATAGCTTCTGTCTTTTTGTTCATTGTCATATTTTTGGAAATAACTTCTATTCTGAATGCCTTTGCTAGTGATACCACTGTAGCATCCACTGTGGTATTTCTGAAGTACATTTTTTTGAAACCAGGCAACTAGCTTGATGCCTGCTTGCATGCTTTCCCTTCTCAAGTTAGTCATAGTCCTCTTTAATTCCTTCTTCAAAAAAGGGCACAGCAGATGATTGCTCTTCCAAAGCCAGGTTTGCCCATGGCTTTTCATCTAATGCTTTTTCTGGTTCGAATCATATGGTAGATGCAACCTTTCTGTTGGCAGTATTTGTTTTACTGTATTTTCTTCCACTGGAGGTAGGTAACTTGCATCCCTCTTACTAGAGCCTTGAACCTCTACATATTTCAGCCTGCAAAAAGGGGTTTCTTCAGAGGAGTCCTTCCAACTCATGATGGTGGAAAATGCAATTTTCAAACACACCTTAATTTCTTCTCCAGAAATGACATGCCCAAACCATCTTTAGTAAAACCCTTTTGTTTAGAAAAAATGTACTTGTGTGGGTCCTCTGACCCAGAATGGCTTTTTTGGTTACCAGAAGCAGATGGATATACCCTGTCATAGAACATTCACCTGGAAGGTAGCTTCTAGTCTTTATTTTAAATCAAGTAAGTTAAAGACTTAAACTTAACTGCCCAGATATAGCTATGGGCTGTCTTTAATTGTACTTCGTGAGAAAGTCTTTTTGCCAGTTATAATTGGTATCTGATAAGCACTGCCAAGAGCTACTGGCATTTTTCTAAAAGGGGTTCAGATGCTTTTCCTGTCTACAAAGAGTTGATCTGTTGGAAAGATCTACTTTTGACCAAGACGTCCATCCCTGCAATTCTCAAAAGATACTGCTTAAATTTTCTATGGCAGAGGTAGAGCTTCTCTGAAGTGTCCAAAACAGCATAGGAGAGGACTGATCCGCCAAGCACTAAACTATGGGAGAACACTGTTGATTAAAACATCCATTAAACTATTGTAAGAAAGATCCCAGGGAGGAAGATTTTTAACTACAGAAAGTAATGTGGAAGGTATTGTCCTTACCACTAAGTTCAGTTACTGTCAATTACTCAGTAACTACTTTATCTTATCTGATTTCAGGCTGATGGAGCTAGAGAGAGACTATCAGAACAACAATACAACCGCCTCGTGGAGTACATCACAAAGACATCTTACCACCTCGCTCCCAGCTCTGCGACAGTGCCAGCATTGCAAACTGTGGCTAGTGAACACCTTCCAGCTATAATGAAAACATATCAATATGTAGTTGATCCAAATTTTGCCCAAGTATTCATTAGCAAGTTCACCATGGTGAAAAATAAAGCCCTGAGGAAAGGATTTAATTAATTATTTGTGGTGAGTATAGTAATACCTTACTGTTTTGAAAGTCATGCTTTCTCTGCAGTAACCTACATCAAGTAGAGATGCGTATAATTTTTGAAGAGGGTAGAAGATGATAACAAAATTAAGCCCAATAGCTTTTCTAATCTTGACAACATTACTGCTACTAACCAAAATACTAGTGCTGGAAGGAAAGAGTTCTAGCAAACAAAGCAAAAAGGAACAGCCTTGGACTATAGCTCAATCAAAATCCTTTTTCTTTTCAATAACCAAAAATCAGAGAAGGAAAAATTGTGCGCATGCAGACATTTTTGCCACACACACAAAATGTGTATCAATACCTACTATATCATATTTTAGGGTCTGCCAGTTTCTGTTATAAACCAGGTTTATAACTCAGCTGTAAAAACTTGCTCAAGGCTGAGCCTTTCCCCCCACACACACGCTTCCCCCCAACATGTACGTCCTGAGGCAAAACATTTTCCCCCACTAAATCTGGAAAACCCGGTGTGGCTGTTCTAAGTTACTAGTGACAGCTGGGGTTTAGCACCACTTTAACCTCAAAATAGCTTCCTTTATTTGCCTGAAGTTTTGCAGGACATTAGTCCTTAATGTAAACTAGTGCCTTTGTGTGGTTTGGAGAACAAAACATGAGCTACAACATGAATTTATTTTTAAACCTGGCTGTATACAGAAACTTTATTTTATCCACCATCAAATTTTCAGGACTTGTGATGTATATATGACATTGTGCATTGTCTGGTCATTAGCTGGAAGCCAAGTACAAGCCAATGACAAGTTTAAAGAACATGCAGTTCAAAAATTTAAGAAACAGAGCTTAGTCTCCCTAAAATCTACCAAAAATCTGTAAGCTCAATGTAACATAGATGTGCAGGTGCTACGTATAGCCTTGTTGGGTCTCGCTTACTTCTGATTTGCCACCACTACCTAGTATGTACTCACTTAAGCCCTAACTCATTCTATGCTTATCGTCTTTGAACAGAAAAAACCAGGGATAGTTAGAAACAAGACCTTTCAAATGTGTTTGTGCTAAGCAAAGTGAGATTTTTTTTTTTTTTTTCAAGCTGATGAAGAAGTATGGACCCACAGGCGCCAATTACATTACTAGTTAATAATGCCATCGCAATACACTTATGATGTTAAACACATCAAGACAGATGAGCTTTTTACGCGTCTTATTTTTTTCAGATGTTTTAGTTTGTAGTAGACAAGAAATCACTGTCTCTGGGCACAGTCACATTAATTTATAAACCAAATCTGGCTATGGCAGTTTTATTTTAAAACCCAAAAGCTTACTTGGTTTTCAACTATGGCTGTTACTTTTCTCCCCTTTTCTATGTACTTACGGACATGAATTTTGTCTGGGGATTCCTGAACGTGGCTGGAATTGGAGACAAGAACTGGAATAAAATATGATCATCATTTTGGAGCAGATACATAAGCTTTATAGTTAGTAACTTCTATGCATACTTGATATGACCAAATGCACAGTAAATAAGAATGTAGTTAACTGCAATGTTTTTCTCGCGAGTTCTGTTTTGTTAAAAGGTATTTCTAAAAGCTGTGTCTCTTGTGTACTGAAAATACAGAAGCCTGGGATCTGCATTGTCCTTTTCTGACTGTGAAATAAGCCCATCCATTATCAACATTTCATACAGTGATTTAGTACCTTAGCCATTCTTTAAATAACACTATTTAAAAAATGTATATGTATATACACACACATGCTTCGTTCCTGAATATTTTATGGTAATAGTTTAATACTTCTAATTTTGCATATGGGTGGAGAAATTGTAATATAATGAGATTGTTTAAAGATAATAAAGCTATTCCTGTAATACTTGTTTTTGTGAGCTATTTGGCCATTCATTTACAAGGGAATGAACAGATTATTGTGTAGAACAATGACAAGACAGACATACAACTTCATGCAGACCCCATTAGATTCCAGTTGGTCACTGGACTTCGTCATGTACCAGAAAATGCAATAGATCATGACAATACTTTGGAAGTAAAAAGTGGTGATTAGCTTGCCAAAAAATGTGTGCTGAAAAGCTTCATGCTTTTGTGACTAACTGAATCAAAACAGCACTGTAGTCACCATTTGAATTAGACTGATCTGTTCATTATTTATGTAGTACACAAACCAGCCAAGAGGATGCAAACACACCTGTAAAAAATGAGGGAAGGCAGCAGTTTGATTTCTAAAAGTTTGTAGAGTGCAGCCATTGTTTAAGATACATTTGTGTTTTTCACAAATTATACTCTCCTGGAATAAACACTTGCTTAAATTACACTCTTCTTCAGTGAATTAAGCTAGCATCTTTACTGCATTAGGCAGGTTCTTTCTCCCCCTTCTGACCACATGTATGGAAACATGTGTGGAGGCGGCATATAAATCAACCTCTCCTACATATGAGCTGTGTGAACTATGAAAACAAAGTTGTCCAAAGAGCAGCTGCCTGTACTTAGCTGCTAAAGCACTCCAATGTGTACTCTTAAAACATGCCTACTCGCATAATGCTCTTTAGACCTGGAGAGCTCACAACTCCAAATCTATCTTTTTAGTTTGCTTCCAGAACAATCAATCATTCCTCAAACACTTGAGAATAAAGTAAGCCAGCCAAAAATTTGAAGGCATGGTCAGGCTTATATACATGGCAAGACCTTTCCCGAAGTAGTTTAGGGCAAACAATATATTATTTCATACATAATTATAGCCAAAACCTTTACAGACAGTTGGGATGGTCTCGGCGCAGACAAGCATGTTTTTTCAGCTCTGCATCTCCTAGGAATGGCATGCCAGGCCCTGTAACAAGCAGCTGATGAGGGTCTCTCTCACACAGGTCTGTCTTGTACTACACCAAGTCCCACTCCCAAGTGTTCGCACGATAGGATTAGCTGAACTATTGCTGGCAAAGGCAAAAAGAAATGAAATAAATAGAAAAAAAAAAAAAAAAAAAAAGGCAGATTGCTGGGTTGGTGCTGATTTCAGGAAAGAAGGTCATCCTGTCTGCCTACTCCTGTGTTAGGGACCAGCCTTGCCCTCCCTCCCCCTCCAGAGGAAAGCGAGCTATGGGTTGGTTGCCGTTGCCCGCTGAAGGGAAGCGCTTGTTTTTGCATCCACTGTGAACCCATCACACACACAGGAAGCAACAACTGTAACCTGCAGACCCTCAAAGCACAGACATAGCAGTGAGCACCCACCTTTCTTTGTTGTTGAATACATTTAGCCGGAGATATCTTTGAGCTCTGCTGTCTGGTCTTCAGTCACAGAACTCTCTTTAGATCAACACATGCTGGTAACTGAAGGAAGGAACACAGACTATGACAGTAACTGCTGTTGACTCTAACAGTTCAGAAGAAACTTAGAATTTAACAGTAAATTAATTCTAGCAACTGGGAAGAGTATAGGGGCTAGAGCTGCAAGGGAGGTCAGGTCTACTGGCCTGCACACCTGGCAGTAGCAAGTTTCTTTGCCTCTGAAGCTGTCAGTATGACTAAAGACCCCCAACTATTTAAACCTGCAGACACGCCTGAGAAACTGTCAGTGCTTAATGGCACACAATGTTTATACTGTACATTGGGAAGATAAATGGGCATCATTTGCTATTGTTAAGTTCTGGTTTACATTTGTAAAAGCAGAGGTATTTTGCTTACTTGATGGTCTCCCCTGCACCACCAATGTCAAATTCTTTCTTTGCTTAAAGAAAGCACTGCCTCTATGGAAAGTTTAAAGAAAATCCCACGTTGCGCTCTTAACAGTGCATTGGATCAAATACATTATTTACGTGCTTTCATTAGTCCAAATGTTGCACACAGCTACCTATTAAGTGTTAAGTAGTTAATGATCCATTTGAAGTAGTGAGACTCACTCCAAACAGGATTTGAACCGAAGACCTTCAAATACAACACAGATGGCTGAAGTTGTGCGTCTCATGCAAAGCCTCCCCTCCGCTCACACAATCAGCTCTGCCTCCCCGCTGGTACCCATGTTCCACAATCAGGTGCTACAGTCCCAGTACCATCTGCAAGCTCAGCAGCAAGCGATGCACACAGCACATTCTAAATGATGGGTATTGTGGCATAAGACAGAGCATCAGGTCTCGGATGACACAGAATGTAGCAGACATCAAAACTATGCTTAGCTGACTACTTCCAGATACTAAAAAGGAGATAATACATGTCTAGAAGCAGCATGCAAAGATTCTCATTGCCAAAATAGCCTGAAGTTAGTATTTATTTTGTCTGCTGTTACCCTCTTTCCCCCTTGCACATCAAAAATATGTGAACACACCTGCAGTTTAGAGTCATTTTCCGATTAGAGTAACATACCATGTACAAGAGTGGGCATTTGCACAGTTTATAAGTCTTGATGTAACAGTTTGCTGCTGTAAGGAAGGCAATACAGTGATGGCAGCAGAAAAACACAGGAAGGTTGGTTAGTGTATTTCCAGAACTCCTCTCCAAATTCTTTCATCTCAAGGTCAGCTCACCTCGTGAAGCCAGAGTTACCTCACAGACCCTTCCAGAAATCCAGCCTCTCCTTTCCTGTAACAACTATCCTCTTGCATATTCCCATCAGCAGCTGGGACAACCTAGCTGCAACTGCTTAGGGATATACTTTGATAACAAATGTGGAATTTGGCCAAAACAGAGATGCAAATAATTCCTGGGGGAAAGAAAGCTAGACTTAGTCATCTTGAGCAATTTATGAAGACTATCCCCCACTCTTCCCAGCATCTGAGCATTTAAGCATTTTGACATTAATGAAGACAACTAAGCGCCACTGACATATGTATTTTATTTATTGAGTTACATTAGAGCGTGCCATGCACTGAAGTGCATTACACTTTACAATTCAGTGAACAAATAAGGTTCGGTCATCAAGTCTCCTTAGACTGAAGGGGATCTGCAAGATAAAAAACATATTAAGTTAGGTTGGACAAACGTCATGCTCTAAGTAAACATATTAGTATGTATGAATGCGAAGCAATAGAGAGAAATGTTTATGTGGTGGTTTAGTCTAGAGGAATTCCCCGTTATTTCCTGATGGTTTAAGATTCACACACCCTTCATGTGGCAAACAGAAGTGAAACATGGAACAAATCAAGAGCTGGAACAATACTGCACAGCACATCAGATTCACTATACATGCTGCACTGATAACTGAATCAATCTTGCTAAGGGCCTGAAAGAGAAAGGAATGCAGGTTTCAGATAGGAGCCAGAGAGGAAACAAGTGGTGTAGGCAACCTACCAAGGAAGGAAGAAAACCAAATTCAAATCACTTCTCCACATTATATTGAACACAATCCAAGACCAGCTGTGCTCCATGACAAGAGTCATGCAAGCGGTTAGCACCGACTCTTAGCTTGGCCCGTTATCCTATTACTTAGCACACTGTAGAGGTGGGATGCTCCTCAAATTTATACTTGCACTTAGTTTCCATCATCAGTACCACCACACAAAGTCCATGCCAAGTAGACGAAGCAGTGTAAATTCACACTTTCGTACCAAGTTGCCTACATGCCTGGCAGGAAGAAACTCGGCGCAGAGTGCCAAGCTAACACCTTAGCTAACAAATTCTCCTCCCTGCCTGCCCTACCCTTTCCTCAGTTTGGGGGCTAAGTACCAATTCCAAAGTGAGAATGCCAAGAGGTTAAACCACTGTATTTACTGCCACATACAGAATATATTCCAATAAAATGGGAGATGTAGAGCATGCATGACCACTGTAACCTTTAGGTCACGATACCAAAAAAAGTATCAAATTCAACATCCATCCAACTTCCATAGCTAAGATTTAAGCTACTGAGGCAAATAAAATGTCTTCCATCTGTTCTGTGTACTTGTGCTTTTCACAGCCTTTCCAGAACATTTGAAACACTGACATTGTTTTTCCCCTTCTTCTACTTATGTATTCATGTGCAGGCACAAAAAAACAACCTCTTTCTACTATGAAGGAGTGAAAAATACCGGTTCTTATATAAATAGGCCAAGGAATAAGAACCGTTAGCAATTCAAACAAAGTCACATATAAAGATTTGTCTTTCACATTTTCTTTTGAGCTGGTATAATTAAAGAATGGAATAAATGTTTAGGAAACATTTAATTTTAACAGGTGCACACAATGTGCGACTTTTTTTTTTTAAGCTGCAAATGGGAACATAAGCTAACTGAAAGTGGAGCTCTATTTGCACTGAAAAAAAACCCTACTCATGATTCCAATTAAATATTCAACATGCATCCTTGTTGACAGTGTTTGTTTCAAATGATTTTACCACCAGATGGCCTTTCAGAATACTCTGATGAAGGCCACCTGACTAAAGAATGCAATTCCAGTGTCTAAGAAAGTTTAAAAGTGCCTATGCATTAGCAACAGAACCGAACCAGAGGCAGAATTACCAAGATTAAACCCAGGTAAATTTATCATTTCATTATTTATCTTTGTTGCAGTCATAGCTAAAGAACAGAAGTTTCCCCTCTCACAAAAAAAAAAAAAGGGGGGGGGGGGGGGGGACCCCCCCCC